TGTAAGTTTACATTGTAACATGAAATGCTAATAAAACACAACACCAACCAATTGGGGCCAAAACCCCTGGATACATGATATATTTCATATGATCCCAAATTTAACAAAAAAACATTAGATTTCATAAAATTAAACGATACAATTAAAACAGATTTTATGTTTAACTTTTTTTATTCTCTCCTGTCCCATTAATCACCTCATGACCCCTCAGATTCATTTTTGACTTCTAGTTTGGTAACCATTGTATTAAACTATCTAACTGTATATAAAGTTGTTCAAATTAACCACACTTGACTACTTTGACTTTTAATACTTAAAGTAAATTTAGTCTAGCCTGGAAACCTGACCAAGCTCATGTTCATGGTCTTTTGATGCCAGGCTAAATTGAGCTGGTAATAATTCTGCAGGCTTTATTTATAAAAAAGTATTTATAATCAAGTAGTAGAGGATTTTTTACATTGTGGCATTAGTACTTTTACTAAACTAAACAATCTGGATACTTCTTCCACCACGGTCTAGTAATAAAGCTGTAAGTGGAGTTAGCCGTCTCTGTAGCTTGGACCAGTCCTACAGGTCTGTTTCTTTCATCAGTGCTGCTTTTGAATGTCCTGCATGTAAACCTCTGACTTCACCCACTTGTAATGTTTACTTGAGGATCATCGATGTTAATAAAAACCTGATCAGTGCTTTTTTGGAATCCACTTAAGTGTAATTTGTTGGACAGGAGAACCAACCCCCCAACACCTCAACTTTGCTTGGCATTTTCCTGCACTCTCCTCCTGTGTGTGTCTGTCTGTGCAGCAGGGTGACCTCTGCTTTGAGTGGGTGGGGACAGGCATGTCCTGTTCTAAACATACTGGAGGACCATCTGAAATCTTAGCTTGCAGCCTGCAAGAGCACCATGCGCCGTAACCCAACACTTACGCACAAGCACACTTGCACACACAGAGCTCAGGACGTTGTGTTTGGCTACAGAGATTGTTGCTTTGTGATTGTCTGAAGCATATCAACAGCCAAATAAGGTAAAGAGTCAGATGTGGGGTTAAATGGAGGCAAATATTTAGCAGCAGATCAAGAAGAGGAATTCAAATCTATGGGGGGAGGGATGGTGTGCCAGAAAAAAACATGTTTGTGAGTGTGTATGTGCCCAGGAGACATGCAGGGGGTAAATGTCATCTCACTGGGGGGTGAACCTCATCCATGTGATGTGCATATTCCATTTGAGCTGCAGGATTACATGTATATCATCTGAGACTTGCAAAGCCTGCTTAATCAAATTGATGAATCTGTCGATATCTCTCTTGTGCCATAGCAAATGTGGAGCTGCAGCATTTCTAGATTTGGATTTATTTACTGTCATCGTGATTTGAAACACTCTCTGGGGTCATTTTGGAGCATAACCACGCTTATATTATCCCTAGTGGCTCACTCGAGTCAGTCTGTCAGTTAAAGTCAGTCCAATCCGATTAAGTAATACAAAATATTATGTTGAAGTATCTATTTGGTTGATATATCTCTGAGCATGGGCATGCAGTTGAATATTTGAAATTGAAGAGGGATGCTTCCGGATGTATGATACAGTAGATTAATCTGGTGGGTTGCCTACTGGGATAGAAGAGTGGAGTTTTTGGTGGCATAATAACCCAGTGGCCTTAATCTTGCTCCAAATCCACAGGGGGGGAGTTCTCCTCTCTCCCACTCTGTATAGCTTCCTTATGGGCACCGGCACATTCATGGATCTGCTGAAAGGCTCAGGAAGGTGCCAGGATGCCATGATGCCACTGTATCTGAGCCACCTCAACAAGAAAATAAAAAAGATCACAGTCTGGCTCTGATTAGACATTCCTTACTGAAAGTTTTTATAAAGAAAACCTCTAATATGCTGCCTGCGACACACGATCAGTAGGGAGGGGGAGAATCATAGTAGTATATGAGGCCAATTTCATCTTCAGCCAAGTTGAAATCATTCATGAGTTATTTGGCATCAGGTAGCTGGAGGCAGGGAAGCCTGAGCGTGCCACTTGAAGACACACACATTAGAGTACACACTACCAGCCCCCAATTGGACTTAGAGACCTCAGCCTGGCCCTGCTGGGGCTACAGTGTCCCCCTGCATCAGCCCCGGAGGAGGAAAGAATCTAATGCTGTCTGGCACTTCTGTGCCGTACATGTATGTCACACATTTGTTCCGCACAACAACACAGTTTTTAATACCCCCTCAAGCAATTACTTGACATGGTGAATATTAAGCAGTTGGCCTGTGGGCTTGGTGCTTGAGTCAGGTTTGGTACCGTACGACATTTGTGGCCATAGTAGAGATATAATGCTTCTTTTCAATCACTCTTTTGTTGAAAGTGTTCTAACTTGTTGTCCCATTACCTGGTATTTTTCATCATCAGTCAATAATAAAAGGAAACTTTAGAAGACAGACACAATATGGCCAGTAAGATAGCCGGACAACTGCAAGATTCTATGAATGGTCGGTTGATTAGATATGTATATTATCCTGTATATGGCTGCTACCATCAGCAGATGGTATAAGGGGCCATCCTTCCAAACCAACCGGGCTCACAGAGCTTTGGTAAACTAGTATTGCACTGCTGAATTAGCTTGGAAAGGAAACCACTTAAATCTCAATTTGTGAAAAAACAGTACTTTGCTTATATATAATGTAGAGGTCTTTGGTGATATGGGTTTTTTTGTTTTGGTCTGTGATTATGTTGAGTTTCTTAATTGTGGTGGATGGTGTTGTGTGTGATTGTTGTCTTGTATTCTGTCTGTTTGTGTGTGTAAGTGGTGCCATTTCTTAAATGCATCAGATTTATGGCTTAAGTGCATATTATTAATGTATATCCAAATGAATATCAGGTTTGATATTATGACACTGATAGATATTGATTTTAAATTTAAAAAAATAGTAATCGAAAATATTTCTAACCATATTATCTGAGAATAACAGCTTTTTTGTGAATAATAAATGCTTAACTCTTCTATAAAATTGTATACAACCACATGTAAGTCATGGGATCCCTGACATGGCTTCTATAAGCAAGACACAAAATTGCTAAGAGAGCCACAGATTTCTGAGGAGATTAAAGTGATTATGTCCAGAGCAGGGTGGGAGAACTGGAGCCTAATGTACTTAAATGTATTGAGGAAGAGGAGGAGGAGGAAAAGAGTTTATAACACTGATTCCACCTCTTACATCTAGTCTAATTTTCTCTTATGAGACTTTGTGAGGAAGCAATATTGTTCTGAAATCCTAAATATAGCCATTTTGAAACAATTCCCCTCATTGTCCTGCTCAGCATTCTCAGCATACCAGATATGGCTGCATATACTGTGCAGGCAGTCGATGACACAGTGAGACAGAGCCACCAAACCACCGCAGTGACTCTGTAAAGGCTGCGTTTCTGCTGCAGATGCTGAAATTCTGCTTCGGACTCTGGATGGGGAGGATTTCATAACTGCATGTGTTTTGTCTCTGCAGTGAATGTGAGAGTATCTGGTTCTGTGTTCCCGGATTTGTGACTGTTGTCTTTTTGTTCTCTTTAGGGATACATCCGTTTTCTCTTTCTGTCTGTTTCTCTTCTTCACAAAGTTGTAACTGCTTTTAGCATATTTCTTATCACAGCACTCCCTCATACTTCTTTTATCTTTGACATCTCCCCTTTGGAGCAACACTGACAACACTACCTTTTGAGTTAACATGCATTGAGACCTTCTTGTATCAGTGCCCCCTGCTGTCTTAAGCTGATTCATATCTCATGCTATAGCCCCTCGTGTCTGCCCCCTCTCTGCTCTGCAGTATGGAGGGACAGACGAGAGGACGGGACCCTGCTGTCTTTGTCTGCTCTGATTAAGAATCAGTCTCAGTGGTTATCACTGGCCCAGATTCAGGGTATGAACCCAAACGAGGCCCTCTCCCTTTTTACTCCTCTGCTCATTCATTCTCTTTCTGTCCCTCATCATAATGAGCCTCCTTTAATGGCTCTCAGATGGGTATATCACAGCTCTTCATTGGAAAGCAGTCCATAATTCCTACGAATTTGTTTTCCTTTGAAAACACAACAGCAGCATACAGATTTATAATCATGAATAATGTATTAAAAAAAACTATAGTGTGGATATTGTTGTGCAGCTCTGTGGCTGTTGGTGACTCAGCACAGTTTGTGTGAGACACTGTGGTGCAGTGTTTCAGTTTTTCTAATGCAGCCTGCATTAGTTACTGTGTGAAGGTGATGCCCACCTCTGTCTCGGTGCCAGGAGATGTCTGCAGGAGGGACATGCTGACTGTTGAAGGGCAGGACTCTGGCTCATGTAGAACCACTGAGGTGGTGAACGTGTTGCACTGAATCATACAGTAAAAAACACCCCAAATGCCATACATATTTATTGGGTCTAAAATTGATGCTATAGTTATTAAGCTTTGGGGAATTCCTTTTCCAATTAAGAGAACAATCCTACATAATTTAGGGGCATATATACACTATCCTTTTGTCCTTAGTTCCGGCAGCTGGTAATGCTGAGTGCAGCTTCCCCATCCTGGCCTCCCTGTTAAATCCACAGGCATAGGAGCTATTTACTCAACAGAGTCAGTGGGACATTGAATCCTAAATCTCTTCCCTTCCTCACGCTCCACTGGCCCAATTATGAACCCAATCACAGCAGCACCTTCCACCAGGACATGCCACTGTCTGTAAGTGAATAAGTGAGTGAATAAACAAAGGAAGGAGTGAATGAACATGTCAAGTTATGAAAAGAGTCTTGATTTCATAAAATTAAATAAATCCCTTATTTCAATGCAGATATTTTAGTCTAAAAACTTTCTTTGTGTCATGACAGACATTGGGAGTTTTCCTACTGTGACAGTTGCAGCATTTTACTGTGTGAACATGTTCTGAGTGTTAAACTGCATCAATGCTAACAAAGGTCTGTTTTCTTTCTCTGTCTCTTCTCTGGGTTTCTCCTGTTTATGATGGATTGCCCCTCTCATCCAGCAGGAAACAACCTAAGGTATGTAAGCTTCACAGACACCAAACAAAAAAGTCATGTGTCAGGGGGATGCAGCACGGGCAGCACTATTCCCCCGAGAGGCTGAGAGGCGTCCAACACAGGTCGCTCTGCTGTTGTGGCGTCGTCTCTAGGGACATGATTGAAAGTGTTTTAGCAGTTCGGCTGGTCAGCAGGAGCCGGATAGATGTCCGTGTGAATGTGTCAGTGCTCTAAGATCTCGTGAACACCCACAAAGGTTCTACAATGAGAGAGGGATGAGCGCAGACACTGGGGCAGTGTGTGTGTGCATTCAAAGCTGCATTGTTGGAGTGCACCCCCACCACCCCCCTTGACAACACGCTGGTGACTAGCTCAGAGATGTTTCACACACCGGGGACGGGCTTTGTGCTCAGTACACTCAGTGGCTGATGGGGCTGGAGAGTGATAGCATGGCCCACAGGCATGCGTGGTCTCTGGGGCCCGTGAACCTGAGTTACCCTGTAATACCCCTCAGCTAGACGAGCATGTGGCTGTCTGCTAAGTTATAGTGGCACTCAAATTAGTCTCCCCCGCATTCTCAAAGTTAATTAGAGGCTGCAGTTCAATCCCGTTTGTTCAGATTTCACCAAGAAATGACAAAAAGGGCTTTGTGCTTTTCAGATTCATCATTATTTGCACTGCTGATTAAAAGTAATTGTCCAATCAAGAACAATTTGTTGCGCAGTCACACCCTCGGGCTGGACAGAGGCAGACCAGAGGAGAGTGAAGCTCCAGTTACCAAACCAGCTCTAATTGAGAATGATGGCACTTTTGTTCCTTTGAATGGCATCCACTCACTTGTCTAAAGTCACTAGAGGAGGTCTGGCTTTCAAAGCATTCACGGATCTCAGTGCTTTTCATGATGACTGTGCAACCACTGGTTTCCTGGCCAATAGCACTTATTATGATTAGTAGGGAGTTTAATTATTTGGGGGTGTTTGTGCAGGGTGATGCACTTTGGTAAAGCAGAAAACTGACAGTGCCAGTAGTAGTTCGTAGTAGTAGTATGTGCCTGCACTGGATGACAGCGCAGATTGTTTCTACATTAGTGCTGTAACGATTCTCGAACCAAAATCAAAATTGCAGGTCCAGACCTTGGTTTGCGATACGCAAAGACAGAAACAGAACACGTCAATAAGTAAAAGTGGACCTTAGGAAGATACATCTCTCATATCTGCCTCAGAAAGTATATGGCTGTGTTTTGGATAAATATGTTCAAATGATCAGGATAAAACCTGAATGAAGATTCACTGGGGGTTTGAAGTGAATACATTAACATGAGCTGCTCTGTCTGTACAGAGTCGTGGTCCTTGGCAAATGAGGCCACTGGTCGTTCCCACAGAGCATCCTCTCAGTGTGTTATCCGTCCAGAGCTGATGCAGGTGCCTGGGAGAACACAAAGACTCTCTGCTGGTGAAGTCTGTGTTGTGAGACCCAGTGCTGAGGGCTCAGAGCCAGCCTGCCCTCACCACCGGGGACAGCTACGGCCCTGTTTCCTTGGAGACGAGGGTCACCGGGTGCTGGAATTTCTTCTGGGGAGCGCTGACCCTGATTTATGAATTAATTTAACTCCAGCCACTATGACAAAACACAGGGGCAGCTAACAGTAGATTTGTGCAGACAAACGCAGTGCGGTCTTAACGAGCGTTACCTCAAAGACCAGTACTCAGACAGACTTCATCGTACTCGCTTGAGACAAGCTCGGTCCTGCTGATTTACTGCAGGGTGGCAGCACAATAAGGCTGTTTTTTACCTCTTAGAAGTGAGACCACTGTTAACAATGTTTTGTACTGTACATGCTTGGGCATGTCTAAGAAGTGTGTGTTTACACTCCCTGTGCTGTCTCCTCTGCAGGTGTTCGCTTTTGACCACTGTTTCTGGTCGATCGACGAATCCAACCTTCCCAAATATGCTGGTGAGTCTTAAATTCTGGAACTGATCCTTCACTCATCACCAAAGAACTGAAAGACCTGCTGAGCTGTGTGCAGAAATAAAGCAAGGAAACTTTATGAGAAGTTGCTTTTGCATCATGCAAATCAGAACACAGTGTGGGCATATGCTGTAATTAGCATTTGGAGTGAATACATTTAAAGGTATTAGTCTTTGTTTTGTCTAAAACCAATTCAATTATCATCCAGTTTAGTGCAATATATTCTAAGAAATAAGACATTTGTATTTGTAACACGTACAACAAACAGTAATATAAATAATGCAAGTTGATCTAATTTTCATTTCACATTGTGATTGTGTATGTAATAATGTACATATGTTATTTTCTTAAGCTTCCATTCATTTGTCTCATGTATTCTTCACAGATAATAGGTTACAGCTATAGTTTTTTTTAAATCATCTATTGAAAAGAGTTCATTACTGTCAGTCCGAGGCAGATTTACATAATCATTGTTGATATCTTCCTTGTCATTATGCTCTAATTATGTGGCAGCAGAGTCATGCTCACATCTGCTTTGTGCTGAACCGATGAGGCAAATGTGCACACTGAAGGGCTGCCTCGAGAGCCCAGGCCGAGGCTTTATTTAGCTCATTAAACAGCTGTCCCATTCAGGAGGAGCACGACAGTGAGCAATGCAAGAGATTTCTCAACACAGCTCAGCGTCTTCCACAGGACTCGACAGGAACCATGAATCTTCAGCTGCTTTCAGACATGCACTGAACTCTGGATAGTCTCCTGAAATTATCAGGAGGGGCTGAAAGTGAGAATGCAAATGTCTGAGTCAGTTGCTCCGGACATTCTCTGACGTGTTTATTGGGAGGTTTGCAGAAAAACACTGGATATCTTCAGAGTGAGTCTATGTGAGAATACAGCAGGATAATGTCTTGAGAATTCAGCATGTGCAAGTGTGTGTGTTGATGACTTGAATACAAATATCTCAGGATTAAAAGAAGGTGGCAAGCTCATAGAAGATGTTAACTTGAAAAGACAACGTAATTCAAGAATCTGAGATTCTGATTTCTGCAGTGAAATATACTGTATATGTTATGTCCTGCTTCCTGCATGCTCTATGCAGACACCAACCCTCACGTGAACACTTGGCTGATTATCCTGTTGTGAAAGTGTCTGACCCGGACAATCTCTTGCTGCATTCTTCATGGGGGACAGGCCCAAATGTCTGGGGTTAATATCTGAAGATGGCTGTAGATTCTTGTTTGATGCAGCACTTTGCTCTGCGCTGATTTTTAAGGAAGACAACCGCATAATTGTGCTTATATAACTGAATGGTTCATCTGTTTACCTTAATCTCCATGGTGACTGATTCTTTTGTCCAAAAGGTCAAGAGGTGGTGTTCAAGTGCCTTGGAGAGGGAATACTTGAAAATGCATTCCAGGGATATAATGCCTGTATATTTGCCTATGGACAAACAGGTAACTGAAAATCCACATGCAACCTATACTCTGAGTCTCACTTTTTTGTTTAAATGTGCTAAATCCATTAGACCATGCAGTTTTTTTTAATGATTTATACACAATGAATTGCCTCTATTATACTCAAAAGGTAAATCTAAGTATATTTGCAGGCCGAGTTGTCGGCAGATGTGTCTGTAAGAGGTTTAAAGAACAGGGAGATTTGATCTCACTGGAGAATCACTTAACTCATATCCTTCCTCACCCTGGAACAAATTAGCTCCTTTATGCTGCTTCCGGTCTTACGGGGAAGCATTGAGGAGACGCACGCATTTCATAATGATGAGAACGGCACAAATATTGTAGCTGCCTGCAACTTAATATGTGAGAATTACTGTTTTGTACAAGTAACATTTAAGTCATGATGGGAACAACAGTGGCACATGACATTAGCATAGGTATTTCTAAGCATTCTTAGTCTAATTAAAAGCTCTTTTTTTTTTGCTCCTATAGCACCGTGGCTCTAGGGATAGTAAAGACTCTAAACTAAGCCTGTGTGACTCTGCTATGTCCCTCCAGGTTCAGGCAAGTCCTTTTCCATGATGGGGAATGGGGAGCAGCCGGGTTTAATCCCTCGACTCTGCTGCTCACTGTTTGAGAGGGTCCACAGGGAGGGGAATGAGGCTCATAGTTTTAAGGTGGAGGTATCTTTCATGGAGATCTACAACGAGAAAGTCCGTGACCTGCTGGATCCTAAAGGGTGAGTCTGATTTGTGATATTGTACTTTCTCCTCAGAATAAGCACATGTGACTTGAATTAATGCTGCTTTTGTAACACTATTCACCCGGTGGTGACAGACGCACAAACAAGTTACACAAACTGCTGTATAATTTCCTGATAACCTCGATTCACTCCAACTCCCACATGAGCAGCGTCCTCTCCATCAGCTCCCACCCTGCGTTGCTTTGCATCTCTGTTTATAGCTCTGTTGTGTCTAGTAGCCTGACTGGAGGATGGCGACAGAATGATGTGAGTAGGAAGCTCAACCCAGTCATTTCCTGCAGAACAGCGGCCAGCGTCGCTTTCTGACACTGCTGTGTTCTTTGCCTCCATGGTCTGATGTGGGTTGGCAGACAGACTGCAGGGGAGGACGAGCTGTGAAAGAGCGTGTTTCAGGGACATCTGTTAGAGGAGCTGGGAGCAAGAGAGCATTCAGAGTGGGACTACAGTGCAGCGCTCTGTGCGGTGCAGATGTCAAAAGATTCCGCCAGAACTATTTGGTTGTCAGTGTCCTCTCACTCATATGACAATCCTCTCACTCTGTGAATTTTAGGATTTAATTTTAGCTGTGGTATAGATGTGTGATACAGAGTCCAGTACAGAGTCTCCCGTGATTAGTTGGTAGCTGGTCTTTCTGGAAGTTGTATCCTCTTGTTTGCCACAGTGGGTGGTAGATTACTAGAATGGAAGCAGGGAACCTGTTTTCTGCCGACCGTGGTCGTTCTGTAGCCATGGAAAGGGATTCAGTGACTCTCTCTGATCTATAGGATTTCTCCTCAACAACTGGCAGACGGCCAGATGAACTGAGCTTCAGTTTACCCACCTCCACCATCCAGGGAGACTTCTTACAAACCCCTAGTTTGAGTTTACACAGCAGTGCATGTGCTCTATAGTCTAATTATTTATTTTATTAGGATGTAATTCACAGTTTGATCAGGGATTTCTCTCGTTTGAGACACATGTCTTACTAACAAGTGTCTTGTGCCATAGACCTCCACCGTCCAAAATTACATCAGTGAACCACACAACTGTACTGTATGGAGTCACTTTACAAAAAAGTCAGCTGAGAACTCAGCATCGAACCCAATTAACATTTTTATTAGTGTTTTAGGGCTTCTTAATATTAGTTAGTTTAACATTACATGCCAGCCATTCCATTCATTTCCACCAGCAACAAAAGTGAGATATTAGAGATATTTATGTTGCTGTAAGTATGTTTTTCTGTAATAGAAATGTTACTACATTACAATGGGAGGCTGTTTCTAATTTGCATTGAATTTGAACTCATGTTCCTACAAGAGGGAAAATAAATGATATGAGCCTCTAGAAACCCTGAAGCATTCATTTATTTTTTCATTCATTTTAATCAAGCTCCCATGGTCAGAGGATATGTTTTCAGCTTCAACTTGCTGTTATGCCGCCAAAAATTATTACAGTGGAAAAGACTTCAGAGAGAGAGTAATGTAAATCAGAAACCCAGATTTGTTTTCATTCTTTCTCTTTGCACAAATGTCCAGAACTGGAAATTGTAAATATACCACCTTTTATTTTCTTCTCTTTCTTTTACTCATTGTGTTTCTTCATCTGTTTTTTTTAAGGAGCCGACAATCACTGAAAGTTCGAGAACACAAAGTCTTGGGTCCGTATGTGGATGGTCTGTCTCAGCTGGCTGTGACCAGCTTTGAGGTGTGTCTTTCACCCTTTTGTCATCGCACCAGAGGCGAGGCTGAATCCACCCTGTATCACTGTCCTCATGTTTCACTCGCACATAGACATGATTTATAGCAGCCAGTAGAAATGCCTTTATATCACATCCCTCGATGTGAAGTCGCATTTTAAGCCAGAATATCCATTTAGTTTTAATCCTCCCAAATGCAGAAACTGTAATGACACATAATTCTGTTGTGGGATGTCGTAATGGATTTCATGCGGTTCATATGCCAATCCTTGGCAAGGACTTCCTTAATTCAGTTTAAACATCTCCACCCTGTTCCTCTGTGCTCTGCTTGGCCTGATATTAGTCCACTGGATTTCCCATAGTCTTGGCTCAGTGCCTGTTGTGCCCCAGCTAAATCACATGACGCCTCGCTGTATGGGAAGTCCGCCTGACTTTGTAATGATGTATTTGCAAATTTTGCCAAAATCCAGTGTTGGAAAAAACCTACTTACAAATAGTGATGCTTTTATACTTCATGACATATCTTTTCAGGACATCGAGGTGCTGATGTCAGAGGGGAACAAATCACGCACAGTTGCAGCCACCAACATGAACGAGGAGAGCAGTCGTTCACATGCTGTTTTCAGCATCATCGTCACACAAACACTTTATGATCTACAGTCCGGGGTCAGTCTTTCATTTTACAATAAATTTGGCTGCACTTGTGATTATCTCATAAACACCGTATTTATTTTGTTATGGTTTTGACTGATTGTGCATGATGTGATTGTAAACAGAATTCAGGGGAGAAAGTGAGCAAGATGAGTCTGGTTGACCTGGCAGGAAGTGAGCGAGTCTCTAAAACTGGAGCTGCTGGAGAGAGACTTAAAGAGGGCAGCAATATAAACAAGTGGGCACTTTTTTTAATATGAAAGCCAAACAAATGTATAAAGTCTGGTTAATAATTTTAAAGAAATGATACTGATAGGACTTGAATTGATTTTTCTTGTGTCGTTTTAGATCTCTCACCACCTTAGGCTGCGTGATCTCTGCTTTGGCTGATCAGTCTGCAGGAAAGGGGAAGGCCAAGTTTGTGCCTTACAGAGACTCAGTCCTCACCTGGCTGCTGAAGGTTTGACAAACATTTATCACTGCCCTTTCTTTTGGTCATTATAATGATATGTAATTGTAGGAGGTCTGTGACTCAGAGTTCACCAAGAAAATGTAGCCTTTGTTGAACATTTGCTGTCTTTGCACCATGAACGTAGACTAAAGCTGCTGTCAGACATGCTCTGAAGTCTGAACATTTTCCTGAAAAGTTCTGGAGAGGCTGTAGGAGCTTTTTAGGATATGAGCGGATGCTGGTGTAAAAGATTTTCACCACAGAATTTATATGTCATGTCCTTCTTCCTGCATGCTCTACCCAGGCACCACTCCTCTATTACTCAAGAAACATTCATGTTGTTGTGAACGCTTCTGACTCAGATAATCTCCCGCTGCATTCTTCATGTGTGAAAAACAAATTTCATAAAATGTCCAGAAATTTTTTTCAGGAGTTCATGTTTTAAACCAGATCAAAGGAAAACATTTTCTTTGCAATATGATCTCTTGTCCTCAGGACAACCTCGGCGGCAACAGCAAGACAGCCATGATAGCCACAGTGAGTCCTGCGGCTGACAACTACGAAGAGACTCTGTCCACACTCCGCTACGCTGACAGGGCCAAGAGAATCGTCAACCACGCCGTGGTGAATGAAGACCCCAACGCTCGCATCATCAGAGAGCTCAGGGAGGAAGTGGAGAAGCTCAAGGTTCAGCTCTCTCAGGCCGAGGTGAGAGAGGGGATTTTGGGGACAGCAAAGGCTCACAAATAATGAATTAATCCCGTGATGGCCCTGACTAGACTGATATCGATTGTTTTTTTTCCATTGTTCGCATTAGTCCATGAAGGCTCCTGAACTGAAGGAGAAACTGCAGGAGTCTGAGAAGCTCATCCAGGAGATGACTGTCACCTGGGAGGAGAAACTAAGAAAGACAGAGGAGATCGCCACTGTGCGTACATGAGCTATAAAAAGATGCCAACATCTCAAATTTAATTCAGGCCGTTTATACACAGTGTGACTGTTATTATCTGTGTTTACAGGAGCGTCAGAAGCAGCTGGAGAGCATGGGCATCTCTTTGGAAACATCTGGGATTAAAGTTGGTGAAGACAAGTGTTTCCTTGTCAATCTAAATGCTGATCCCGCACTTAATGAGCTACTGGTCTACTACCTGAAGGTAATAAAAGTGTAATACTGCAGTACTTTTCAAGTACAGTGCCAGCTTGTCGAGTTTTACCTCTGCCTCTTAAGCTTTACCATTAGTACATCAGGAATTACACAGCAAAGAAAACATAAACAGTCAACATTTGTGAGATACATTCATCAGAGAGTTAATATTCGATGGCTTGATTTGAATCCTCAGTCTGTTCCACTACTTCCCTTAAATTTCTTAAGAAGCTCTAAAAATAGATAATTGCATTTTCCACACACTGTACAATGATGTCACTGCTTTGTGGTTTCTACAAAGCTGTTAAATAATGTTTTCATTATCAAACCTCTAAATGAAAATACTGTAAATATCAGACATTTTTCAGCATGAAACTGATTCATGAGCCAGGCACTATTTTGACCAAAGCTTTCACCTGTATACTTATATTTGTTACATGAAAATCTTTACAAGGTCTAAATTGCATATACATTAATTGTCAGGTTGTTTCTCTTTATCCAAATCTAAGGACTGTAAAGCCAGCTCATCTCCAACCCACTGCTGAGACATATTTACCAAACTGAACTATTAGCACACAAGCTGCAGTGATCCAGGTGAGAGTGTGAGAGCAGGGAAGAGTCCAGTCAGAGCAGCTGTGGACTTTTTAAAGCTCTGCACTGGAACAAACAATCAGTGAGTTGGACCTGTACGAGCAGAGGCTTGTGAGAAAGCGGCCTGTGTGTGGCGTGCAGAACAACAGGCCTTTGTCTGGGTTCTGCAGACCGGCCTGGCATATCAGTGTGGAATGACTATGGTAATGTGAAATGGGTTAGTTCGCCGCAGGGTAGGACATCCTCTAGAAGCTGGGATGTTTGTTCAACAACGCCCACTCCACACTGAGAGAGAGAGAGAGAGACAAGTGTTTTCACTCAGGCCTGGTTTCGCTTTTGGATTGCTCTTGATTTCCCCCAAGTTAACAAATTTTATTTTCTGCTGTTTGGCTCAATAAGTAACAGTTTCAAGCTTTTCTGGTTAAGACCAAAAAGTTGGAGTAAGGCATTGGCTGTAATTACTTTCAGATCTATCATTATAGTTTCCTTAATTTGTCCTCCATCTGTGTGTAGGAGCACACACGTGTGGGTGCACACACATCTCAGGACATCCAGCTCTTTGGGATTGGGATCCAGTCGGAGCACTGCATCCTGGAAGTCTGCACAGACAGTGATGTCACCCTGATGCCCGTAGGGAATGCCAGGTGAGCTACTACACAACCATCTCCAACATACCCTCAATTTGTCTATCTCAGTCTGTGTCTCTGTCTGCTGTCTCTCTCCTTCATGGATGACTGGACCTCGGAGTTTCACATGACCTCACCGTACAGGAATCTCTGATCTGAGCTCCTCGCTTTGATATCAGAGCCATTCTCCCTCCCTCTACAAAGTGACTGTTCTGTGTCAATTTGCATTCCCTCTTTGAAGCTTTAAATTATAACACCATCCAACATCTCCATTAATAAAACGTCTTCATTCATTTCCAAATCTTCTTTTTTCAGAACCTGTGTGAACGGAACAATGATCGATTCCTTGGTGCACCTGTGGCATGGAGACCGAATCTTATGGGGCAACAACCACTTCTTCAGGTATGAGATCTTTCATTCAAACATGCGTCACAGTCATGATTAAATAGTCACTGATTGGACATCATGTCACATCGCAGGATCAATCTGCCTAAGCGAAAGCGGCGGGACCGTTTGAAGGAGCTGGAGCGAGCTTCTCCCAGAGAGAGCTTTATCGAGGCGGACGTGGAGACTGCCAGTGAGGCGTCTTCTGAGCAGGACTACAGCTATGAGTTTGCACAGATGGAAGTTATAATGAAGACTCTTGGGAACAATGGTATGATTAGGATAATCTGGCTTCTGCAATCTATATGATGCTTTAGTCTTCCAGGCTTCAGTTGTATACAGTATACACTTCTCTTAGGTTTCAGGACCTCCAGCTCGTTCCAGCTTCTATCACAAAAAAGATCTGTATTTGTATTGTAGTATAACTTAAACACAGACTTGAATACACAGGCTGCATTTGTCCTTTTCCTATATGCAGACCCAATGCAGAACGTGGTCCAGGTGCTGGAGAAGCAGTACCTGGAGGAGAAGCGGACGGCTCTGGAGGAGCAGAGGATGATGTATGAGCGAGAGCTGGAGTCGTTGAGGCAACAGCTGTCTCCTGAGAAAGCACCACAGCACCAGCGCAGCAGCAGTGACCGCCTTACTTTCCCGACACACACGCCTCACAGCAAGCTGCGGCTGTGGACGGAGGAGCGGTGAGAGGAGCACGCAAACACACATGCAATGATACGCCAACTGGAAACTGCAGGGAGGCCTCAGGAACTGTTCTTGTTCATATAACCTGTTATCTTTGTGATTAATTCTGCTTTAACAAGAAATGCATGAAATATTTTCAGGATTTGCCTTATTCAAGACTGTCGTGCCCCCCAGTTGATCTTCATCTTTTTAAGAATGCGGTCAGTTGGTGACCTGATGATTCACAGTGGATCTGTGTCAGTCCTGTGGGACATTGTTTAAATTTGCTAAAAGAACATCTGTCACTATTATGCAGCATTTTCGCTTACTTACACGTTTACTTTACTGATTGTCCCGTTTCTCTTACAGTAAGAGACTGTGGTTCGTGAAAATGTCAGAACGAGAGCAGTATCTGAGATGCATGGATCAGTGTTTATACACATTTTTCAAGCTGTAGTTTAGTCAGTCATTAAACGTTAAATGACTGTTTATGTCAATCTAGACCGACACCGTACATAAAAGATAATGACAGGTTTTCATGTTCATGAATCCATGAATCAATGTGTGTGTGTGTGTGTGTGTGTGTGTGTGTGTGTGTGTGTGTGTGTGTCTGACAGCGATGAGCTTTTTCGTCAGAGTCTCTCTCGGCTCAGGGAGCAGGTCGTGAAAGCCAACACTTTGGTGCGAGAATCCAACTTTCTGGCAGAGGAGATGAACAAACTGACGGACTATCAGGTCACCCTTCAGATTCCTGCGGCCAACCTCAGCGCCAACCGCAAGGTCAGACCTCTGAACTACAAAGAACGTTGCATCATGCTGGTGTTGATTTTACTGTCATCTGTGTATATGTTCTCAAATATCTGTCCTCCATTTGTTTTTATGTAGCAGGGAGTGATAGTGAGCGAGCCGGCCATCCAGGTCCGGAGGAAAGGGAAGGGGACTCAGGTTTGGACCATTGAGAAGCTGGAGAACAAACTGGTGGACATGAGAGACCACTACAGGGACTGGAGGGAAGGCACAGAGGAGATGGTGAGAAACAGGAACTGGAGAGAGGAAAAGAGAAGTAGGATAGAAAAAAAGGATTTTTTATTCTGCTCCTTTGTTTGTTTTTTTCAGCATAACAAAGCAGACAGTAAGCACTGTGATCCGTTCTATGAGGCACAAGAGAACCACAACCTAATAGGAGTGGCCAACATTTTTCTGGAGTGCCTTTTCCATGATGTTAAACTGCAATACGCTGTTCCCATCATCAGCCAACAGGGGGAGGTAAGGGTGCACCAACATAAACAGATGAATACCCGGATAAACTAGAATATGGTTAAGAGCAAAATAATCACATTTATGAAAATAATTAAGATACCACTTGAAAATGATTATTAAAAGTTCAGAAAGTTATCAGAAAGTTTTCACAATTACAATTTACTTTTAAAAACTACATAATATATATTTGCAGGTCTAACACATTTAGGATGTGTCTAACCTTTTTTTTAGATTAAAGTGATAACACCCTTATTCTGATTGTTTGTACAGGTAGCAGGCCGGTTGCACATTGAGCTGATGCGAGTCAGTGGTGCCATACCAGAGCGTCTGTGTGGGGGAGATGACTCATCAGAAAACTCCAGTGAGAGTAGCTGCTATGAGGTCATGGACACCAATGGGGAGATCGTCCACATGGCCAAGAGGCTAACCTGCAGGGTAAAGGGCACTTCTGAGTGGATTCAAACCAAATTACACATTTGTATCACCTCTGTATTTGGAGGACATTTGTTTCTAAGATTCACCGGCATGCAGAAACCCTCAGTAACTTCATTCTGTCTATTATCTTGCTGCAGGTGCGGATCAGGGAGGCCACAGGTCTGCCGCTCAACTTGTCCAACTTTGTTTTCTGTCAATACACCTTCTGGGAGCATGGCGAGCCCACTGTGGCTCCTCCTATGGTTAGCCCAGACAGACCCTCCCCTCGAAGTCCAGAAGCCCAGTTTACTGTTGAGTTTGATCACTGCAAGGTGAGAAAAAGGTTCCTTCAGATTGAGGTAGTTAAAGCCTCTCTTTAAATGGTTCAGACCAATTTGAAGTTTTTGTCCATTTTTGCATTTTCAAATCAGCTTCACTGTATAAAATCTTGTCTTTGTGCAGGACTATGTTGTACATGTGACGGATGAGTTTCTAGAATTTATATCTGATGGAGCTTTGGCTATAGAGGTTTGGGGTCACCGCTGTGCTGGGAATGGACATTCACTCTGGGAATTAGATGCACTAGAGGCCAAGACCCAAACTCTCAGAGACAGGTACATGTTTCACTCAGACTTCAGACTGGCACGGTGACATTTCAGACATTACTAATTTTGGCCGTCGATTGTTCAAGGTGGAGCGAGGTGTCTCGCAGGGTCGAGCTGTGGGTCTCCATCCAGGAGCTGAACGAGCAGGGAGAGTATTCATCTGTGGAGCTGCAGTCTGGAAAAGACGGCAGCACCGGAGGAGTCTTCCAACTACGACAGGTCAGAGAAAAACTGATGAAGAAGTTTCCTTTTCGGTCTGACTGGCTATAGTTTGTGAGCAGTATTGGAAATCAGCACTCTCAGGATTAAATGATGGGGTTTCGTCCAAGCAGGGTCACTCCAGGAGGCTGCAGGTGTGTGTGAAACCAGTCCAAAACTCAGGCACTCTGCCTCTGCTGGTGGAGGCTGTGCTGTCCGTCTCTATTGGCTGCGTTTCGGCTCGCTCCACCAAGCTGCAGAGACCTCTTGACAGCTACCAGGTCTGTGGAACATATATTTACACATTCTCACATACTGTTGACAGATGCTAAGTAGACAGAAATTGGATGGTATGTGTATATACCTAATTCTGCATTAAGTCAGAACAGTGTTTTGGGAACAGTGTGTTCATTTCATGCCAGTGATATCCAATATTATGCTGACTCAGCCGAATTGCGTTAAGTATATCTCTGGTTTCAGGCCATGACTGGTTCATTTGGAAAGCTGGCAGTCTGTTTAAAGGAGAAATGTACGAACTCATTAGTGCCCAGTTAGCTCTGTTAACATGCACTGATACACAGGAAGCAACTGTTTGATTCATCATAAATAGCCACAAAATCCTTTTTCGTCTGATTTTCCACATTCATACAATCAAAAACATTTCCATGAAAGTTACGTGAGTGGTGCCTCTAAGGACTTTTGTGCTCCCCACATTTGACTGAGTGTGTTCTCTCCTGCCAGAGAGAGGCGGAAGAGGATATGGATAGTTATCAGGTACAACCTCAGTCCCCACCCTGTTGCTGCTCCCCCTAAAGGTCACTCTGCAGCATGACGGAAACCAACTGATCATGTGTTCACAGATGACTGTGCCCCACAACTAAAAGAGTGCTTTATTAAACAGCAGCTGCACATGTGGATGATTTATGATGCTGTAATGATCAATCGCACCGACCATTCTTTGGCAGCCCTCTGTGCAAAATACAGTCCCACCCATGGCTGAGCTCCCAGCCGGGGTCCATCTGCCAAGGATCCCGCTCGCTCTCGCTTTTCTGCTCAGGTTGCGCACACTAATGCCACCGTTTGCTTGTCACAACTGACGAGTTTTGGGAATAATAAGCCTAACTTAATCACATGGGCATTGCATGGCCGCATGATTTACAGTGCTTTGCATGGTGGATGCGTGTTGATGTCTGAAGTGTGATGTGCTTTGAGGTTTGTTGGTTACTTTGGACAGTACAGAGGGGGATCTGCTCTCTGTGGCGCTCTCACAGAGCCAGCTGCTGTGTAACCAGGTAGGACTTTGATTGGCTGTGGCTGCATGTGAGGACACGCGTGTAGGTGTGTATTTGTGAATGCATGTGTGTGAGTGTAAAAGGGGTGAAAGGGAGGTGTGTTTTTAAAAAGATAAGAGCATATTCATGAGAGCCTGACCGATTTGGGGGCCAATGCCAATACTAATACCAGGAAGTAAAAAAGATTTCCGAACTATTAATTGTAAATAAAATAAAAACACAAATACGACCAAAAATATCAAACTTGAATTGAGAAAACTATAAAACATGACATTGCGAGAATTACAACAATGCCACAGATATTCTGTTCAACTATTTCTTTAAACGTAATATGTAAACATAAGGGCACATTTTCTGAACTATTCATCTTGTTAAATAAAAGTCTTCAAATCGATGCATATCAGCAAACATAAACACTAATGCAGATATGTCTGCTCATATCAGCTGATATTATTAGCCAATTAATAAGTAGTTCAGGCTCTAGAACTAATTTGTTGACACTAAACTACAGGACAGAAAGCTTTGTTTTTTAACACCTTGGGTTTGGGGACTTCTACCAGGATTAGCTTCACTTGGCTTTCTTAGTATTTTAGTGATGGGTGTTATGAAGTAAATATGATATTCCCTCAAACATGCCAGCCCAGTCCACCCATCCCCTGGTAACACTTTGCCCTGCAGCAGATCCTCTCTTCACTGAGCTATGTGGCACTGATTCTTGTCTCTACCTCCAGGAGGAAGATCTCAACTGTGTGAGAGAGCGCTGGTCAGAAGCTCTGATCAAACGTCGGGAGTATCTGGACGAACAAATCAAGAAAATCATCAACAAACACGGTGTGTCTAAGGCTCTGTCCTACAGCTGATGCTTAGATTATCTTCTAGTTTGTGTTGTAATTCAACTCCTCTTTCTCCCTCACTTGATGAAACCAGAAAAGTCAGAGGAGGATATTGAGCGAGAGGCTCGGCTGGTGGAGCAGTGGGTTGGACTGACTGAAGAGAGAAATGCTGTGCTGGTTCCTTCACCTGGCAGTGGCATCCCTGGAGCTCCTGCAGACTGGTAACAAAGCTATTAAGACCAAGACTCTCCCTAACACATATCAGAGATTCAGTTCATTTGCAGCTCATATTTGACGTCATACTCAACTACTTGTAGGACCCCGCCTGCAGGAATGGAAGCCCACATCCCTGTACTTTTCCTGGACTTGAATGGTGAGGCAGACACATCCTTCATGTCAACTGATGTTTCACAGATTTTTCTCCCAGGCTTTATAAACACTTACCCTCCTCTGTTCCCTCCACCAGCGGATAATCTGACAGTGAACGAGCAGCTGACAGGCCCACACGCTGCAGGCGTTAACTCTATCCTGCCTAAGGAGCACGGAAGCCAGTTCTTCTATCTGCCCATCATCAGACATAGTGATGAGGAGGTGAGCAATGGGCTTGTCTTTTCTGACCTGCTGTGGGCAAAAACAGAGCTGCACTCGAGAAGAAACGTTTTTGTGCATTTCTGTATCGACTAGAGTGGCACTCAGTCGAGCTCATACCTCCACCAAGGCAATCAAGCTGCACTAAATTGCACACACTTATTGATATCAGTCTCCTAATTATACCTGAGGGTACTCTGAGGGTAAAAATATAGACTAAAACTTCCTCACCAACTAATTTGTTGCTTTGGTTTTTCTTAACATAGTACTAAATATGTTGTCAACATGCTCAATTTAACAATTATAGAGTCATGTTACTGCATGAAAGCATGCATAGAAGCATTTAAAGGAAACTTGATAACTTAATTTCTCTTTCTTTGATGCTGAGCAGCAGCACTCACCAGACAGTATTCTGCAGTGTCATTTGATGAGATTAGTCATGAGCTATAAACCCAAAATCTACAGCTCACCTCCGAGACTGTAATCCAGGTTTCTGTTTGTCACATCACATCCTGTTGGCACTGATTCTCTCTCTCTGCATTCGACTGTGGAGCTGCATAAATAAAGCATTACTCTTCTGATTTACCAGGTGTTGGCAATGTGCTCTTGGGACTCGTCCATCCACGATTCTGTGCACCTCAACCGGGTCACGTCTCCCAACGAACGCATCTACCTGATCATCAAAGCCACGGTGCAGCTCAGCCACCCTGCCTCCATGGAGCTGGTGCTGCGCAAGCGGATCGCCGTCAACATCTACAACAAACAGGTGAGGTGGGAGGCAGATTGAGGTTGTCAGTGTAAATCAGTGGATGTGGTTGAAATTCTCTAGAATTTCTTTTTTCTTTTTTGATAGAGTTTTACTCAGAGTCTCAAGAGAAGAATGTCGCTAAAGAACACACTGTACTCCTGTGGTGTGATATACGAAATTGTTTCCAACATACCAAAGGTAAAACTCTTAATAAAGTTATTCCGCATCTCTAATGAAAGCTGCTTCCCCTCTATGTTGCTAATAACCAGTTTGGTGTTTATCTTTCCTCTGCAGGCCTCAGAGGAGCCAGAGGAGAGGGAAACCTTGGCCCTCATGGCTGCTCGCGGCGACAGCGAGGAGACCCAGGATGGAGAAACCTACATAGAGAAATACACACGGGGAGTTCTGGAAGTGGAGAACATCCTCAGTCTAGAAAGGTTACGGCAGGTATTGTATACAATAGAATACTTGGTATGATTTGGAAAGAATTCATCCATAGGGTGAGATGTAAAGATGCACCTGTCTTGTTTCTGCAGGCTGTGACAGTGAAGGAAGCTCTCGCTGCTAAAGGGAGACACCTAAGAAGAAGTATCAGCACACCAAATGTACAGCATGTAATGAAGACATCACTCACTGCACCACCCACTGAACCACATGGAAATAACTGTTATTAAATATGATGACACTGACAACGTGTTTCTTCTTGCTCTCCAGTCTTCATGTAGTAAAACAGACCTGACAGGTTGTGAGGATGAAGACTGTAAGGTAAGAGTTCTGCTTCTTCTAATTTCAGTTGCAGTTTATGATTTTAGAAGGTGACTCTTCATCTTGTTACTATGGGGACAGTAGATAATTAAGAATAAAGTATACTATAGCATACACTTAAACTGGACTCAGAATATAGGAACATTAAAAACTAAGTGATCACACATATTAAGATAATCTTCACAAATATTATTCTCTATAAACTTAATCAGATTCAGAATCCAGATTAGAAAAATAATGGTGCATCACACACTAAAGAATATAATTAATTATTGCTGCAACGCATCACCTCACGTCAACAGTAGCACGCTAACTGATGTTAGCCTTCCGATTGTTTACCTTTGCTTGGCGACACTGTCAGCCGCTCCGTTCTCTTTGTCTCTCTCATTGTCTGTTGTGGTTCTGTGTGGAAAGCAATGACATAATCATCCCGCTTTTAAAACCCAAAATTCAAACATGATAATTATTGGGAGGTTTCAAAGCAGCTCTGTAACTCCTCACACTACTAGATAATCTGGGCCAAACATCGGTAACTCAGGTTCCAGACCAGATCTTTCCTTGGATTCTTGGCAGGGAGAAATCAGGATTCAATTGGCCTGAAGTTTCTGTAATCTGAGCCCAGCTTTACTTCAGCTTGACTTTAACCTTATGAAAGTGCAAATTTGACCTATGTGTTCCTGTCTAGGATCACTGTGATCATGTGGACAGCTCCAGCTGCAATCCTCAGGATGGCTCCCTTTGCAGCACACCCATTAAAAACAAGGAGAACCAAGGTAAAGTACAGAAAAGGAAGAAGTAAGAAACAGTTTTTGTGTGTTGCTGCATGGCAACTGGGTTTTAACTGCACGTTCCCACACAGGTTTGGTCCCAGAGAGCCCGATCTTTTTCAACTCCAGCCCCTTCAAAGTGCTCTCCCCTCAGCCACCCAAGTTCCTCAAGTCCCTGCTGCCGGTCAAAGAGGAGAACAAGGTGAAGAAAGCCCTGGAGGCTCGGCCGCTGCTGGGACAAGAGGTAAGGAGGGAGGAGTTAAATTCTCTCTTAAGAGCGAAGTATTCATGCTGTTCCCTTTCCATTGAACTGTTCTTCAACCCCACATACCTCAACTTTTTGTTAGTGCTCTCTCAAACACTATTTTGACATATTACTAATTTTCCAGAGCTGCCTGATCATTCTTTTATGAAAATGGCTTTGCTGTTGTGTGACTGGATGAAAAAAAAAAGTGGCACGTGTCATGTCACAACTCACAGCTGTGGTCGAAAAGTCTGAATATTCTCTTTTCCTCACCACTTTTCCTCGACCTCCTTGGAAAATTTCACGTGGTGAAAAAGAAACTCAAAAACTGGTGCTAAAAAAATCCAACTGCACTGTTTTAACACTTTATTTATAACACATACAGTGACAATCTCCATGCTGGTCCTATAGTTTAAGGTGTCCTGGCTAAAACTGAATCACACATCCTAAGAAATGAGTAACAAGAAATAACTAAATAGATTCTGTTGAAAATGTAAACAAAACAAATAGGGTTGACATTTTGAGATTAGAAATAGTGGAGCCATTAAAATAATCATTAAATAGAAATAAGGAACTGAGCAAGGAGGCACAGTAGACTTTTCCACCACAGCCTATGATTTTTAACTGGAGATAATCTCAACACTTAATTAGAGGACAGTTTGCTGTAAAGTCTCAATTTTGTTTTTGTTTGTGATCATTTGATTTCTCAGACACTTTGTGGCTGTTTCAGCAATTTAATCTAACATTGCAGATTTTATTTCATCTGTGCTTGAAGTGGACTATAAGAGGTGCAGGTACTTGTAGCCCATGTAAAGGACACTGTGGTTAGAAGGTAGGGATTTCTAGTGAGAAGTAAATGGTTCCGTAAGCAGCAGCATCCAGGTAAATAGAAGAGAAAAGCAGCTACAGTGTCAATAAAATAAAAAATAAAAAGATTGAAACCAAATGAACACCCATTGACTCACCCTCTCCCTCCAAGCGTGAAAGAGAACCTCACAAAACATGACAGAGCTGCTGTAGAGCCAGCGATTCTGTTGGTCTATTCTGAGCTACTGTGGAAACTGACAGCACAGTCCTCCATCACTCACTCATTATTTTTCCATGTTAAAGAAAGATAAAATGCTGGATTTGCAAATTTATACCTGGACCCACTCCAGAATTCTACAGATTCTTCCATGGACAAAACAATAGTCAAGAAACTAAACATGTGGTCACAAACTGACGAGAAGTTAGGATGCAATAAAAAGTACTGTTACATGTATTTAGGACACTTCAAGCACTGTTTTTGAAACTGCATGCCACTAACTGTGTAACTGGCCTGCCCAGCTCCATGCATGTTGTGTGTGTGTGTGTGTGAAGTGTGTGCTGTTGTTCTGACCCATCTGCAGAGCATGCGCTCATGCGTGGACAGCCCTGCACTGCTCCCCCCTCCCTGCCCTTGGCGCCGACCCAGGGCAGGCAGCGAGGGCCACTGCAAGCCTTCCACATCCACCTCCACCCCCACCACCACCACCACCACTCCCACCAGCAGACAGCTCAGCCACACACTGCCACGCACTGCTGTAAGTGCTACACACACTAGCACACACTGCTTCCAGGGTTACTGTAAGAGTTACACACACACACTGACATCTAACATGCTCACACAGCTGTTAGCATTGCACTTGTGTTCACTTGGTCATATACTTTGCTTTAAGGCTTACACCTAGTGCACTTCTCAACTAGTCATTGTGCTGGTACCAGTGCCAGTGTACGACAGAGTATTGTTGTTTAAACTATTTTTAAAAAGCTGTAATGTAAAGTTAATGCAGCCAATTTTATTTTCACACATGTGACTAAAGTGATGCAACAACTTATTTGAAGGCAGAGTCTCATTAAAAACATAAATACATAATTTTCATGTTCCATTATCACAATCGACATCATTTAATCGTTGTCTCCATTCATTTTTAAACTGCTAGTGCAGGTTATTACTGTGTACAGGCTCTGTCTCACATCATGGCTGGTGGTCTGTGTCCTTTGTCTTGCTGTGAATGTTTTGATCAGCAGGACTCTGAGGACGAGGAAACGGACGTGGATGTGAATCTGAACCTGGATCAGGGCCCTCAGGATCATGGCAGCTTTCAGCCTTATATCCCAGAGGACTTTGCAAACTTTGAGATCTACAACGCCACTCTGGAGAGCCAGGAGGGGTTTCTCTCCTCCTGTCCTGACTTGAAGGGAAGCCGGTGTGGAGCCGGGAGCAGCGAGAGAGAGGTGTCCCGAAGCCCCACGGCCAGCAGTTGCACCAGTGGCTACTTTTCACACAGTGCCTCCAACGCCACGCTGTCCGACATGCCTTTCAGTGCCAGTGAGAGCTCTGACCATCTCAGCTGCACCTCCAGAGACCCGCAGGACTCCCTCGGTTGTTCCGCTGGACGAGGTTGCGCCCAAGCCAAAAGTGCATCTGCAGGGACCGACACCCGGCAGCCTCCTCTCTCGGCAGATACGGCGCCGGATCTGCTCACCCACCCTCAGGACTCTGCACCTGTTCGTATTCCTAATTGCACAGACAAGAAGCAAACATTCCCTCAGCCTCACAACTGTGTTCTCAGTACCAGCCAGGAGTTCACTGACTTCAAAGGGGCTGACGACAGTACTGCAGAGAGTGATTTAGCACATTTTACAGAGGGGTGGCAGCAGGAGGATGTGGAGCAGAAGAAACGTGATCATGTCAAACCATGTGGCACAGGCAATCAACCCCCCTCTGTTGTCTCTGGTATTATCAACACATCTAATCCTGAAAATGCAATATGCAAATATCCCAAGAGTGAAGACTCTGTTATCGTACCTGTGACCTGCTCTAACACAACTATAGTTTGCACTTCAGTCAGAGCCCCAGTAAGTGTTCCTGACAAACTCCCAGCTCCATCTCAAGCCCAAATAATTCCCTCTGCATCAGTCCCACCTACAGCATCACCATCCCCAGCTGCATCTTGTGCCCCAGTGCCGCGAGCGGGAGGAGAGCCTCCGATCCAGGAGCCTGCACAGGGAGATCTGCCCCACGGGAGTCCCTGTCCCAGTCCTAACCCCAGCAGTGCCGAGCCCTCGGGGGACTCCAGCGGGGATGAGAGCACCCCAGTGGCTCAGCTCCCTGACTGGATGGCGCCAGGGGAACAGGTGTGGGTGGGGAAGAGGAGAGGAACAGTCCACTATGTTGGAGGGGTAGAGTTTGCGAAGGGTATTTGGATTGGTGTGAAACTGGACATGGCAGTAGGTGAGTCTTTTACTACAAGTTGAGTTTAACACACAATTCAGATAATGTAGAAATAGTGGTGTCATTACATAATTTGTCCACCAGAGGACACTGACAAGTCGATTTTTTTCTCAAACATTAAATGTTCAAATAACTTGGTCAAAGTTCACTGATACTTAAATCTTAGGAATCTCATCATAGATAAATGATAATGTGTGAAAACGGTTACATTAATGCAACCATCGTGCCGGTGGAGGGCGGAACTCTGCAGCTCTGTTTGTATTTGCTCAATTGTGACCTGATTACATTTTTCTGTTTCCCTGAGAAATGTGTCACATTACGAAAGATGAACGCTTCAGTGTTGCAGAAGTTAATGTTTGAAGAACACTTGACATAAAAGCAAACGTTTTGTAATCCTGACAACAGACACACTCAGTTATTTGTTTGGAAAACAGAATTTAACTGGCATGTTTTTTACTGATGAATGATCTAAATGTCACATGCTATGATTTTCAGAAAAACGTACAATCCCTAATTCGATGACCTTCTTGACCCATCTGCAGGTAAGCACAACGGGACTGTCCAGGGCAGGGTGTACTTCCGCTGCCCCCCAGGCCACGGCGTGTTTGTCAAACCGTCTCGTCTCACCAGAGGACCCCCCTCCATGGACACAGAACCCCAGACTGTAATCAGATAGGACCCAAAGAAGAAGCAGCTTTCTGAGGAGACCTGAAGGTGGCCATCAGCGCTTGTGCCTGTGGCTTCTCACCCTCCATCATATTTACCACTCAACTCTCTGAGCTGATATATTCCGACGGCACGTCTGCTTTTCTGACCTGTGCATTTCATGGTGGTTTATCCTGATCACCGAAACTTCTCTATGCACATATCTGAGTTTTTACACGCTGATATTTTTGATAGAGACCTTAACTAACTGGGAGTCCATAAGGAAATGTCACCCACGTTCTTTTTTCACACATTGGTATCTGAACGGTATATATATAGATATATATACTATTTTTGTAAGACAATGCATCTTCCCCTTTGGCTCATAGTGGAGTAATCTTGGATATGAAGATTAAGAATGTACTACTGTTAATACACAATGATATTTACATGAATATGGTATGTCAGGGGTAACCAAAGAACTACGGTTCCATATCTGCTGTTATGAGTAATATGCTATTTTTTTAAAGTACACGTTTGGAGGTATTCACTATATACTGTATCTATGTGTCCAAGTAATGCTTAGTGCCATAGGAGTAATGCCACATACCCTGAACAGAAGACGAATCTGCAAAACCTGAGTTGCGGTCAGTGTTTGAGTGCAGTTATCACGTTAAATTATCCTGTTGAAGTACTGTAACACTGTGGAGGAAATGTTCCCATCCAGCATGAGACTGTTGCTGTTTGAACGCTTGCACTGGAAAGGATTCTTGGAGAGGTCGCTGACTGTTTTCCATATTGGACCGATGAAATATTTTCTAACTGAGGTGACCGAAGAAACACGTGTTTGTCACTTTAATTCATGGAGCAAAGCAGCTAGGCTTCATGTAAGGCCTGGGTGTACTGATGCCTTATTGCCCCCGGCACATAGACCCCAGACCATCACAGACTGTGTGGACCTGAAACCTGTGTTTGTTTATCACGGTGCTCACACACGTTCAAAATGCCTCCCAGCCTCGTCGACTGATTTATTGAATACCTTTTTAACTGCTCTTCCATCTGCATTTTATTTTCTGTGTTAGACTACATGTTAAAAGGTACTCAGTAATGCAATTTCTCACACAGGGGATTGGATGGCTGGGGGATGGACAGAATCACGTGAGAGAAAAACGGTGCAAAAGTCATTCTAATTATGTAGAGACGTTGTCCTACATGAACTTATATTTTTATGGAAGTGGTGAACTGTGGAACGGACTAGAAATAGTTTATATTCAAGCTGTTATTTCACGTAAATGAAAGAAACCCAAGACCTTACATTAAAGAAGAGAACCAAGCTGCTCTCCCTCATAAGGAGTTGTATATAGAAATGTATTTGAACATAGTATTTACACTATTATAATGTACAGAATTGTATTTATAATGTATCTCCAACTGTTTTAATTGGTACAAAATGTTCTAGAATAGAACATTTACAATCAGTGCACTGTGTTGTCTCTTTATTCATTCATCAGGTCTGTGTTCTGTGTGTTGTAGTTGTGTCAAACATATTTAATGTGATGGCAGACGATGGGTATGCGTTTCTAAAAAAGATTCTGTGAAGTATTTGATTACATCTTCGCAGAGTACATGGCTTGTTTATGTGAGAGATGTGGCCCTATCCCTCCACCAAGCCTTCAGTCTTGGAGTTGTCAGATGTTTTGTGTTTCTAGTTCCCTCTTTTTCATGTTTATTCAATCTTATTTTAATATTCATATTATGACACAGTAATCCAATGCTCCAGTTTCCTAAAACAGAAAAATACCTGATATCCTAATGCAACTTTCAAAAGTCCATATCTCGGAGGTTTCCCCAAAGAGGTAGTTAATGTGATTCTGTTTACAATATGTGCACATGCAGAGTGTACGTCTTTTGGACGACATGTTAGCACAGCAGTGATGTTTGTTCCACTTGGTTACTTCATGTAGGGCAAAGACGACTCCCGTCACAGGAGCAGATTTACGGTCCCCTGGAACTTTTTCTGTCTGCGGCTGATGGAGAGATAAACAACACAAACATGTAAACATGTTGTCATCAACAAATGTTGGAGGCAGGGATCATGATGGACTGTCCCCAATACATGAGGATGAGTCACTAAACCAAAGGCATCTTATTCTTTCAAGTCTTGACCAACTAAATCATTGAGTTTTGCAAACACAGTCAAATGTATTATCCTTCCAGATTTTTCTTTTTCTTTCTTTCTTTTTAAATTAGCTGGTGGTGCTTGAGATGCCACAATTGAACTTAAATTACATTGTGCAATTTAAAAATAACAACTTATTGACTGATTCTGTATTTTAGTTTTATTCCTGACCATGTGAGCAGGGGGGGGGGCTAATGTAATCTGCCATTCTTGCCCTTTCAGTTCAGTATCACAGGCAATTGACTAGACTACAATAGACGATATAAAGATGGACGAGTTTACAGCTCCCCAAAGTGAAGCCAAAGCTTCTCGATTGCCACCTGGTGGCTGGCTGCAGTATAGCTCATAAACCAGGACATGTATAATAAATTTATCTCGAAGATGGTTTCTTTCACATTAGGTCGTTCTTATCACACTAATGTTTTTTCAAGGGTTAGTTTTTCAGGTAAGTTTGGTTTTAATTAGTTATTTGATGCTTAAAAAAAGGGGGTGGAGCCTGATTCACAGCTGAGACAGACTTGTGATTGGTTGTAAGTATATTCCAATGTACCATCCTCAACTCTGGCTCCAAATATACAAGATGGAGTCGGAAGAATGGTTCGGTTTGGTTCATGCTGAAACATCTGGCTCCAAACTAAACGGTTTGGTCTCATATCGGGCTCCACGTCGATGGAGGTGGTTGGAAATGACATTGGCAGTTTCAGAGTCAGTGAGCTCAGGATGCTCAGGTTGGTCTAGACTCTACAGTTTGAGATATGAAAAAATAGATAAATGAATGACATTAAAAAAATCTAATGAATTGGAAAAAAATGAAAGTTTTCAAGGGGTTTGCATTTTTATTTTTTGCAAAGCTCCTGCCAGCACTGATGTGCAATCTCATGTTGTCTGTTTCCTGTGTGTGGTAACAAACCACGTGGTCCTGAACATCCCTCTCCAACGAGGCTTGACCCACATCTGTTGCTCACTTTATTAGAAACATGAGCCAATGAAGGGGGCTGGTGGTGGTGGTGGGGAGGGGGGGGGTCTCTGCCCCTGTCTGAGCAGCTGTGTGACAGTGGGTTGGCGGAACCCAGTGTGGTGGTCTGAGTCTGGGTGGAGTCAAGTGTCTGAGTCTCATTCTGACAACAGGTGTCCTCCTCCTCCTCCTCCTCCTGCACCGTCACATTACCGGAGATCCGCCTGTCCGCTCCCCACACTCTCCCATTGACCCACCGCTGCTGCTGCTCCTCTCACCTCCTTCTCCTCCCTTAATCTCAGCTGCAAACCTCCAGGAATCCACTCACACACACGATGCACTCTGCTCAGAAAGACACCACCTTCACCAAGATCTTCGTTGGGGGTCTCCCTTATCACACCACCGACTCCAGCCTCAGGAAGTACTTCGAGGTGTTCGGGGACATCGAGGAGGCGGTGGTCATCACTGACCGGCAGACTGGCAAATCCAGGGGTTATGGATTCGTAAGTGACCGAGATCAAGTCGAGTTGTGGAGTTGTTAAAGTTGCTTGAACAACAGTCTGAAGCAAGAGTCTGCTCTGTGAGAATTAAGTGTTGTTGTTAGTGGGGCAGACTTGGAAGTGCAGCTACATGACAGCACATGTCCTCTGTTTTTTTTATCCCTGTGGCCAAACTTGTGTAGTGAGAGCCTCCAACCATGTTGAAAAACCATGTTGTTTCCTGTAGGTGACCATGGCAGACCGGGCCTCCGCCGACCGAGCCTGCAAGGACCCCAACCCCATCATAGACGGGAGGAAAGCCAATGTGAACCTGGCCTACCTGGGGGCCAAGCCCAGGGTCATACAGCCAGGTGAGGGTCCCACACAGACTTCTATCACTGCTCCGATAACTTGAATACCTCCACTAAGGCCCAGCAGTCCCTTTTTCAGCTGCAACAAATTTCACACACACATAGGAATCAGTCCCCTAAATTGTTTTAACAAGATCCTTGAATTATTCCTGTGGAAAAGAGTGAAAACGTTTGATATTGCATTGTTAAAGAAAGTCAAAGAAAAACTCCTGGACCCTGATGCAGATCTGCACCAAAATTGAATGGATTCTTCTCTGACCCATACTGCATCCTTCCACCAAGTTTTGTGATAATCGGTTTCTTCGTTTTTGTTTAATCTTGGTTACAAACAGACAGGGGTGAAAACATAACCAGAAGTAGACACAAGTATAACTTAGAGTAAGAAGATCTTGATATTTGGAGAATACACGCTTCCTGTAGAAGGACATCTTTGGTTATGGTTTTGTTTTCTTAGAAAGGAGGTGTAGTTCTGTTAAGGACAAGTCCCCTTTTCTTGAAGGTCCTCTCCACTGCATTTAAAACAATTTGACCATTACAATTTTAAACCGAATAAAAAATGTGTTTTTGTTCCAGGCTTTGCATTTGGCGTTCCTCAGATCCACCCGGCGTTCATCCAAAGACCTTATGGGTGAGTTAACCTGCAGAACATCCACTTCTCTCACAAAATCCTCTGTTTAAAATGCTACAGAACTGCCTTTCATGACCTTTTATATGTTTGTTATTGTTGTAAACTTTTAATCATCACTGCCTCCACCTTCTTAATGCTGAATGAGGACATGTGAGTGTTGATGTGTGCTCCTCTGCTTGGCGTTGACTGTGAAGGAACTTTTTGTTTTGTCCTCAGCCACTTACAGGACTTGACTTCATGTTGTCCATCTCTCTCTGATCTGACAGGCTCGCTAACGGTTAAAATAGCTGATGAGGGGGACAGGATGGTTTGAGGAATAGCTGAGTCTGCATTGGGCAGAGCGCTAAAGTGTTACCTGTATACATACACAAACGAACTGAAATGGTGACTAGATGCATGGAAGTCTTCTGTTGTTGTTGTTTTCAGTTTTCCATAGTACATAGACTGGTGTGTGCCTTGTGTTCAGTATGATGTGGTGTTCAGCTTAACTGTGTGCTCATTCCTACTTGCAGTGGGGTGCAGGAGTTTTTTTTTGTGCAGACTTTGTGAGTTTTGATAGGAGGTCGTGTAACTCTGCGATGGGGTGTTGATTCTTTTTCCCTTTTTAAAAAAAAAAAAAAAAGACTTGATTTGTGCTTTAGCCTGTTTTTATTTCCTCCTCCCCGTTTGATTTATTTTAGTTAACATCGTTTGATTGTGTTTTGTTGTCAAAAAGGGGCTGACGATCACTCGGTGTGTTTGTAATTCCCTCAAAAAATGTTTATCCCCTTCAACAAAACAAACACTGGCTTGCATGTGGGAGTTGTTTTTCTGTTTTCTTACCCATGATGCTGTGTTTTCTTTTCTTTTATTAACCCACTGCTTTCACTTGTAGCTTAAATGTACAGGTACATGAAAACAGCATATTAATGCATTTTTCTTATCACTCCAGTGAAGCAAATATTAAAATGTTAAATTTCATTTATTTTGGCTCAAGGGTTATCAGACTCTGTATTAACCAATTTTAAATGTTAAATGTATGTGATGTGTTATTTGGCTTTGCCATGAGCAAAAAAAAAAAAAATGTCCTTACAGACAAGTTTGAGTTGACTGCTCTGTAGGTTGGAGACAGAGATCTTAGCCGGCCTCTCAGGCAGCAGCTGTCGGCCGCAGCGATCTCCATGGCCTCTCAAATTCAGATGGAAAAAAGGAGTCACTCGGCAGCGCTGTTAATAATGTATGGCACAGACGGGGCCGCTCGGCCGTGCACAACAGGTGGAGCGAGCCATGTGCCCGTGGAGCCTTTTGGTTATGTGCTGGGGATTACCCATGTGTCCTGGTGATTTACAAAGCATCTTTATTTAGCTGTGAACTCGCAGCAACACAAAATGTTCGCCCCTGCTCTTTCAATAGACTTCAGTCAGCTGCTCGTGTGCCCTTTTTGCACTTGAAACTGATATTAAAACAAGGACAAATCGCAAAGAACGCATAACAGCACGTTTTTGTATGTGATAGTATTGACGAACAAAAAAACTTTTCCTACTATCAACATGCAGCTTCAGTACAAAGACTTTTAGCTTTCATTAACAGCATCCCACTTCTTGAACAGCCTCCTATCTGACATTAAATATGATCAGGGAAGTCATTGAGACAGTGGAGGACTGCAGGCGGCCATTACAGTCGACGAGCTGCCTGCCATGTGTTTGTGAAGGAAAAGATCAGCTTGTCCTTTGGAGATGACAAGGGGAGCAAAAAATAGCATGCTACCAGCCTCCCTTGTCAGTCAAGCTGGCGTGTGTTTGTGTGGGGGTGTATGTCAGTAAGAGGGGGAGGGGGACACTCGTCTATGGACAGATATAACAGTTTCACACCTGCTCCTCAGTATATTTTACTGAGGGCGGACTTTAACCCAAGTTTAAAGTGGGACCAAATTTACCCAGAGACCCAGGCTTGTATTTATCCATTTATACCCTGCTCTATATTCACAGTATTGCTCTTCCAATGGAAATCTCCTACTCTGCACTATTTTCTCCTTTAAAACATGTTTCTGTTTGGTTGACTCAGCAGCTACACCCACAGCACTGCAATCATTTATTTTAAAGACACAGATATCATATATGGACCTATTAACATGTGTGGGCATGCCTGTATGTGTGGTGTTGGTGTGGCAGTACGTGGACAGAATACTGTCCACTTCTTATCTTGATATGTTGTGGTGTTGTGCGATGAGCTCGCATTTTGTCACATCCAGTTTTCAGTGAAACATTTGGTGCAGAGCTGGGCTGTGTCTTCTCTTTAATGCCTCACTGTGTTTCAGATTCAGGTGCTTTATTCAAATTAAAAGCTGCGCTTGAGTTTCTGTTGTGGTTTTGCTGCTTCCTTAACTTTTCATTTCTAGCCAGGGTTTTTCGGTTGTTAATGAATGGATTTGCTGTGTTCTGAGGACTGGATTGACGTATTTGTGGCGCCTGCTTTTCAGTTTTCCAGAATTTAGTTTCAGTGACGGACAGATGAGCGGCTGTGGTTCTGCTCTGACCCTGCGTGTCTTTGTGTCCTACAGGATCCCTGCTCACTACGTGTATCCTCAGGCCTTTGTCCAGCCCAGTGTGATGATCCCTCATGTCCAATCCTCTGCTGCTACAGCGACAGCTGCTGCAGCCGCCACTTCCCCGTACCTTGACTATACCGGAGCGACATACGCTCAGTATTCTGCGGCTGCCACCGCTGCCGCCGCTGCAGCTGCCTATGAGCAGTATCCCTATGCAGCCTCACCAGCACCAACGAGCTACATGACCTCAGCAGGGTATGGGTACGCTGTGCAACAGCCACTCGCCACTGCTGCCACCCCAGGAGCTGCTGCTGCGGCTGCGGCCTTCAGCCAGTACCAACCCCAGCAGCTGCAGACAGACCGCATGCAGTAAAAGCATGAAAACTACCTGACAAGAGGAAAGCAGGGGCGGTCAACTCCATATGAGGAGGTCAAAGGTCAGAGGGGGAAGACAGTAGAAGCTGAATGATGGTTGTCAGTCCCAGGTTTTATCTTATCAATCCTTCTACCAAAGAGCCTGAAGAAAATCACCAAAAACGTGGAGACAAATGAGAAATTACTGTATATTTTATTCAGGCAGCAACAGTATTTTGCCACTATTGAATATGAATATTTAATATTTATTCAGTAGCTAAATAATGTTTAATGTTAATTGAAGCACACTCACTGGACCTCATGTCAACCATTTCTTGATTTTGTGTATATTTATATATTTAAGTGGAATTTGTATAAAATTCAGAATTACATTTATGTCTTATAATCAGGTTTCCTCCCCACCAAAAACAAAGACATACACACACTCACACATGAGAACATGTGTTACGTCATCATGCAGTTTTCAGTATTTCATAGATTTGGACCAGTATTTTTGTTTGGTAAAGATATGCAGACATTGATAGAGATATTTTCGTAGGATTTTCTCTTGTTTAAGAATTGTTTGGAGTGAGACATTAGTTCCTTCTGAAATGTCTTTTCTTGATAGTATATAGGACAAAATGCTGCAGTGACTGAAGCTGGTGAAAGCACTCACTTCTCTTTCCTTCAAATTGCACCTCAACCAAACTCAGCAGAAGGGAAGAAACATCGTTGAATGTGAATCTTTCATTTTGAAAAAGAAAAAAAAAACTATTTCATCACGTGCCTTTTAAATTATGCTATTTATGTATTTATTATGGAGCCTTACAGTAAAAATAAACCCTTTATTATTTGTGTATTAGTATGAAGCCTCCTGTAGAACATGTCACACACGTGCTGCTGCATTTCTCATGATCAAGCGCACTTGTGAATAAGAATGTCTGAACTTGGCTTCACTGTGCTATACTGTGTATAAAGAACAAATATGTGTGGAAACGTAGCAATAACTCCAAAGCTTTTTTTTTCCTGTTTCCTGTCGATTTAATGTTGTCTAAAATATATCTTTAATTCTTTATTGTCGCTTTTTATACTTGACCAGTTTGATAAAGGACAGTGTGACAGCTGTTAACTTTTTAAATTTCTTTTCTTTTTTTCTTTTTTTTTACATTTGATGTCTTTTGACATTAAATGTCTTCTATCACAAGGGCTTCACTTGTTGCACCTTGTAATCTGTGTAATGCATGACTCAAAACCAATGCAAACATTGAATTTGTGAAATAAAAGGAAATGTACCTTCAACTGTGTTTTTATTGAATGTTCTATGATGGTCACAGTTGTGGATATGAATACAGAACAGTAGCAGATGGTAAATGTATACAAGGCATGTAAACCTTAGAGTATTCATGCAGAGTTAACATCCTCTAATGTTCTGTTATGAGCTCTCTGTGTATAGTGAGGCCGCAGATGAGTCGAAGGACCAACTAATAATGAATTAATTCGAAATAAGTATGTCTGATGCCTCTATTTATTTATTTTTTAAATCAATGCAGATGTTTATGGAGCATGAATCCAGTCTCCAAACTATAAAGATGAGAGGTCCCTCGATACACCACCATCGAACACTTAAATCTTTATAATTTGATAAAAATTACATTTGTTGAGCTGAAGCATAAACTGTACATGACAATGGAGGACATGACGGCTCCTAAAAGTGAAGCCAAATCTCAATTGCTGGCTGACGGCAGTATAAGTCATAAACCCTGCCTCATCCATGTTAGCAGATGGGACATGGAACAAACTGAAAAGTCAAAGTACAAGTCAACTAAATTTCTCAAATATGGTTTCTGTCATTTCAGGTCATTCTATTCACACTGGTGTGTGTATTGAGTTTTAATGAGTTATTCGATGTTATATAAACGAGGTGAAACCGATGATTGACAGCTGAGACTGACTCACAATTGGTGGAGAGCATTTATTGGCGGGACCTTGATACCACAGCTCCTTCCCCCGTTACTACTGTGCAGACTCTGGCTCTGAATGACATCACTGGTACAAGATGGCAGCGTTCATTTCCCGGGACATTTTAGCTTTATTTCTGGATAGTGACACACTCATCTCAGTGTCCTCTGCTGTTTGAGAGACCCCATAAGATCCGATTCCCCGTCTCGTTCACCTGTTGCAATCACTCACCACAGTTTGCACGACTCATGTTACTGTACAGCTGTGAGGACACCTGTGTAATGTGACCTGGAGAACAACAGAGGAGCAGAAAGACAGACAGCTGCACGGCCTATTGGTCCAGTTTGACAGATGCTGTTTGGTGACTGTCACCCAGAGCTGTGGCAAGGACGCTGGAGGTGGGGGGGTGCTGAGGAGGCTGCAGCACCTCATACTGTTAAGGAGTATAACTACAGGAGGGGAAAAGTTTATTTTGGTAGTTTTATTTCAATTAATTTTCTCAAGTAAGACTTTAGAAAATAGTGTAGTTTGAACAGTCAGCATATTTTCTGTTTTGCATATTTGATGGACAAATGTAGAATGTAACGTAGATAGGTTGATTCAACATCTGATGGAGAATAAACCTGGATTTTGTATGTGAACTATCCACAGCTGATTTTCTTATGCAAAATGCAAATTCAACAGGCAAAAGTCATTTTGAAAAAAAAAGATAAATAAAGTGAATCATATCCAAATGAGCTAGTAAAACTATTTGAATTATTGATCAATAGAAATAAAGATTGTGGATGCATTATTATGCCCAGGGAGGTGCATTAAAACACCCTGCCTCACTCCACGTCGAAATCAGTACGTTTACATGACGTTAAACAAAAACGATTCTGTAATATACCGGGGCAGCTTTGAAATAATCAGAGAAGAAAAACGGAACCATCCTTCCACTGTCACTTTGTGTGTGATTTCTGTTGGAATGTGAAATGTTCTAAAAACAAGTGTAAACTGTTGATCCATTAAATTAACACTAAAATCGCGACTACTGCGTTGATGCACTTTATTTATACGAAGCCATGATATGAACTCACTCTCCTTCCTGGTCCGTTGGTTAGTGTTGGTGAATGGCAATTTCTGTCGCACATTTACGCAAATAACTTTCGAGTTTAGTTACGCGTTCACCGTGTAAGAGAGCTGCGTTCATGTGCTGTCGGAGTTGGTGCACTTCCGGGTTTCCAACCACCCCAAAAAATGCGTTCACGTCAATGTCCCCGACATAAACACGATGTGGGCCATTGACATAAATCAAAGCTCCAATATGTCCAGAATAGCGCTGAATAACATGTAATTGTCTCATCTCGATCAAACACGGATGCTTCAAACAGTCAGCATTGCGTATTTCAGTGTAGTCTAAGAAACAAAAAGACGAAATTGTTTTTGTTTCTCAAGTAAATTCATTGTATCTTACACGACCAAGTGTTATCACAAAAACCTTAAATAGTTGTCATGTGTGGTGAATTCTCTCGGGTTGTTTCCATCTGACCGGTGCGACTTGAACGCGACGTGACATTCCGCAGGCTGGGGGGCGGTGACGGGGGGGGGGCTGTTTCCTGGCAGTCGGTGAGAAGCAAGAAGACAAAAAGAAAAAAACACATGTACATCAAAGTGTGAGAGGGTAACACGCTCAATAACAGAGAGAGTCACCCGGGATCGAACCTGTGACTGCCAGGAACGTGAGTAGCATTCACAGACTCCAGCTGTGCTAACGTTGTTGGGTTTTTCATCGCGTTTTCATTGAGCTAACGTTGTTGTTAGCAGCTCGTGTTGTGACGTCAAAAGAGCCTTGTTCCCTGTTCTCTGTCTGGTTATTAATCGCTGCTGGTTGTTTAGCATCGATGACACAGTTGGATGAGGATTATTTGGGCTGACTGTCCGTTCCTTTGGCTTAAAGTGGAATTTGTGGCCTTCGTCCAGTCGCTGATTCTCTCTCGTGCCGGGGAACCTCAGGGAAATGGATGCAGCCCATCGGTGGACTTTTAAACGGCCATTAGCAGGAAGCTATCCCCAGTTAGCATGAAGCTAAAGATGGGGTCAGGTGGAGCATCCTTCATCAGACAGTGGTGGTTGTGAGGGACAAGAGTAGACTCAGTTAAAGGTATGAAGAAATCTATGACAATCTGAAAACAGTCCTCACTTCCTCCCTGGTGGAATATAACAGGCCCTTTCCACAGAGGACATGTGGTCACTGTATAATTCAATGAATCACTGGGTGGTTTGAATACAATAATTGAATACATTAGTCCGGAGCTTTCCTGCTGTGAGGAGTCTAATTGTCTGCTGTGAAAACAAACATAATTAATGGAGTTGGTGGGTTTCAAACCTTCATTCAAGCTTCATTTTGGTGGCTGGACAAAAAACACAGGTTCACATGTGTCATGATGCCAGTCGTTGTTTATTCCGTGGGCTTCTAACACCTGTATTCATCTAATCAATGCTGTTTATTTCCCCCTGACAACCTTTCATGCAACCTTTATGTTTTTCAGAGCTATACCAATAGTCCCGCTGCAGATCCACACCAGAGATGACCACCGAGAAGATCGAATACACCCCCCTCCAAGGGGGACCCTCTCCACCTTTTCTCTCGGGGCAGCCTGCACTCTCGGGGCAGCCTGCACTCTCGGGGCAGCCTGCACTCCCGGGGCAGCCTGCACTCCCGGGGCAGCCTGCACTCCCGGGGCAGCCTGCACTCCCTGCTGCGTTTGACATGAACATGCCCTGCCCAAACATGTTCGGAGGCCCTGCTCCTGGCGGCCTTCCTTTCCCTCCACCGACTGCCTTTGGACCAGGCGTAGTTGGAGGCTTTGGGGCGGCCACAAACCCCCAAGGCGGCATAGGATATGGCTTCAATCCGTCTTTTTCGCCATACTCTCCACCAGGCCAGGAAAATCCTTCATCTTTGCCGTATTCTCCACCAGGTTATGGCAAACCATCAGCTTCACCATATTCTCCACCAGTCCAGAGCTTCAATGCAAACTTTGATGGTTAGTATTGCTAACATTGTGGTATTTTTAAAAATGTGGAATTAGATTCGCAGCATTATTTAATCAAATTGATGTTTCTGCTTGGTGCCTTTTCAGATGGTGATTTCCCCAACCAGGACGACCCACCCCCCTTCCACGAGAATCAAGACTTTGATTTTGGATTAGACAACAAAACCATCAGACGAGCTTTCATTCGAAAGGTAAGGAAACGGAGTGGTAAAATCATATATATATATACACAATGCTGCAAAATCCTTCAAGTTTAAAATGTAAGTAAATATTGATGTTTTTTGTTTTTTCGCTTCCGGACATTGATTTAAATAAATCGCAAATGCATTCAGTGATAAACAATCATAAGATCCTCTATTGTTAAAGAAAAATGTATTCCCAGAATTTGCATGAAGATCATATTTAGCAAGTCGCCAAACGTTCCACTGTATTTCATTGAAATCTATTTTTGACGTGTCCTCCTGACAAACATCAGAAAAACAAACACACAGTAAAACCCAATCTTCATGGGGGGGGGTTGATCCTAATTACTGATGATTAGGATTTATTGGTAGGGATGTCTTGTGTCTGCTGCCTATTAATTCACTCTTCATTCCAGGTTTTCTTGGTGTTAACTGCTCAGCTGATGGTGACATTTGCCTTTGTGGCTGTCTTCACCTTTGTGGACGAAGTCAAGGTGTTTGTTCTGGTGAACACCTGGACCTACATGGCCGCCTACGCTGTGTTCTTTGTGTCCGTTTGTGTGATCAGCTGCTGTGGGAGCGTACGCCGGAGACACCCTTGGAACCTGGTTGCATTGGTATGTCTGCTCAGACTTTGTTTTTCCAAGAACAGGAAACGAAGAGGGGAGGAGTTAAGGCACAGGAAATGAGGCACTATCGGATCAAATTTTGTCTTGGGTGGGGGGGGAATCAAAAGTTTCATTTCTATAAGACTTTGTATTAATCATGGAATTAATTGATAAATACAGCCTCACAAATAACTGTTGTAACCTGGAATTGATCAGTAAGTCATGCCTTGAACTTGCACCTCATCAGATGTGTGTGTTGTTTTCAGTCCATCCTGACCCTGAGTATGTCCTACATGGTGGGAATGATCGCCAGCTTCCACCAGACCGACTCAGTAATCATGGCAGTGGGCATCACAGCGGTTGTGTGCTTCACAGTGGTCATCTTCTCTCTGCAGGTGTGTATCTGTCAGTCCCTGCCTCGTGTGTGTATGTTTTGTACATCGTTCACATCCTGATATTCAAGTAACTTGTCATTCTTGGCTTCTTCCCTCAGACCAAGTACGACTTCACTTCCTGTCATGGCGTGCTTTTCGTCTGTTTAATTGTCTTGATCTTCTTCGGCATCCTCTGCATCTTCATCCGTGACAGGATTCTGCACATTGTGTATGCTGGACTGGGAGCTTTGCTTTTCACCTGTGTAAGTGCAAACGGTTTTCTCTGCTGTTTCCTGTTAGTGGTAAGAGAGAGCAGAGAGTATTGTCTTTGTTAAGCATGACATCAAAGCATTATTGCGTGGAAGGTTTCCTGGGTATTGAAACTTTTTAATTTAGAGCCGTAACCTCTGGTGTGACCTGAAGAAAAGTTGAAGGGATGATGGTGATTGAAAAGCTCATAACCGCTGCAGCAGTAGTTTAATTTTTGACTAAAAGTCTTGGATGATACCTATTGGCACAGTTTTGTGGCAGTTTACCAAATAAAAGTTTACATCAAATTTTCAAAATAAAAAAACTTAAAAATTTGCATGCTACTAAACCCAGGTACAAGTTCCACAGACAAACGTTTTCATAGTATTCATCAATACTTAGATGACGATTAGCCCGATAATGATGCTCAGGAGGTTTGTTCATCAAACCTTGAAATGAATTTAAACAATCTCGGATGATGACAAATAATTCTCTGGGTCCATGGCTAATATTTTGTGACATCCAGCGTAGACCAGCTTTTTTGATCAAAACAAACTGTTTGTCTCTGGGCTACCGAAGCCTGCTCCTTGCCTCCACATTCTGCATATTCAGCATCTGGATAGGGATTACATTCAAGTTACACTTCAAGTTGTGTTGCTTTATCAGTGCCTACAATATTTTGCACCAAAGTCACCAGTTGATCACAGCTCGGCTCCGCAGCATTGAAAATTCAATTCAAAACATTCTGCCACGATGTGTCCTCAATTTAAGTCGGTTTTTACCAGTATTAATAACTATACGTGTTTTTCTGTGAGATCTTTATAATACTGAGTAACAAGATTGTGTTTCTGGACAGACATATTATTGCTGTTAAGTAGTAAAACTTTAATTTCCCCTTCAAATGGAGACCACAGGACATGGATAGGAGTAGATATTGTTTTTTCTATATCTTTAGCTTTTTGGACAATGTGAAAATGACCCACTGTGAATTTCTTACAGTTCTTGGCGGTCGACACCCAGCTGCTGCTTGGCAACAAGGAACTGGCCCTGAGTCCGGAGGAATACATCTTTGCTGCTCTCACGCTGTACACAGACATCATCAACATCTTCCTCTATATTCTTGCCATCATTGGACGAGCAAGAGGGGGCTGAGCAGGAGGAACTCAATAGCTTTGAGTTCATGTATAAAAGTGAATTCCTATAATCATTTTATTTTGGCTTGTAGTGTGCATTGATCACATCGTTGGATATTTCTTTGCTTAACCCTGTGCAAATATTTTTCTTTAATGATAATATAGATTTTATATGTTGTAATTTGGGGGGGTTATGAGGTATATGTCCTGTGGTACAAAACTTCATTTTGATTTGGAAAATAATTTCTTTTGCTGTATGAAAATTGACAAGATGGTCACAGCTCAAACTTCCTTGCTTATTCCAGTGCTTTTGCCTGTATCACACAGTCTTTATCAGCAGGAGGTGACTCTCTACATGCATCCTTAGTAGCAGTTATATCATCTATTGCAGCTTTAGGAAAAATCTAGTAAATGAATCTTGTATCCAGATTGTTCTTTTGCCAGAGTCAAGAAGAAACGTTAATACTTAACCTATGAACCAAAACCTATGAAAACTGCTAATGTTGTATTGTATTGGATGAAACAAGCTCCTGAGCTTGAGTCTTTCTCTGCTGCGACCCAAAACAAGTCCAACTACTACCAGCTGTGTGATGTGATGCGGTTGAAATGCTACATGCACTGAGTTGGGACACCTATTTCCAATGTAAAGGAAAAAACTTTTCATAGTTAAATATGAAGATGCTTTTCAAACCCTGATCTCTGTCTTTTGTTATGACTGAAAGAATCTTGTCAGAATCACACCCCAACAGAGAATTCTGTTTTGATTTGAAATATGATATCACATGATTCAGTCAGTGTCAAGGAAGATTTGAGAGCTTGTGGCTGCTGGTCTTAAACTGCGAACCTCAAAATGGACCTGGAGCAAACCGCCAATTTGTTGCTGTCAAAAAAAGAACAGCTGCTACAGGAGAATGAGCAGCTGAAGTCGCTGTTAAGTGTAGTTAAGGAAAATGTTGACCTGAGAGCCAGGATGCAGAGCTTCAACAATGATAATCTGGAGGCGTCATCAGGTATTGTTCTTCTTTGCCACTAGATGGCAGCTAAAGTTAGAGAGTTGTGTAGTGTCAAAGAAATGTATTAAATTCTTTTTCTTGTTGTAAAAGTTACAACAAGAAAAAGAATGAGGTTTAAAATACAATTTTGAGTTGAATAAGCTGAGTTCAGTAGGATTTCTGGTTGCCTTCATTTTTAAAAGTGATATGCATTTTTTCATTTCTTAGGTCATGAGATTTCCTTTTTCTGTGACATTTAGTAATATAAGCATGTACAAGTATAGGCTAACATCTTTGTGGGTTCATCTGCAACATTTGAAAATATCAGTTGTAGACTGATCCAAACTGTTTTCATAACACAATTCAGGAGATTCAGATTTTCAAAAATAAATCCCTTGACTTGATATCAGAAATATAAAAGTAAAATGAGGGATTCTTATCAAATTAAGGAACAATTTCCATATTTTGAGCTATTTACTAAAAAGTACATTTACACATTTTCTTTTAAATTTTAGAGTAAATGTATTAGTACAGTGTTTCTTGTACAAGTATCAATGTCAGTAAACACTCAAATCATTGGATATACTGCAATCTAAAATGTTAGTTTTTTTTCAAATTTGGTGGAGTAGGGAACCCCTTTTTTTAAATCATCAAAAAAAATGATGTTATTGCATTTTCTGTTTACCTCAGACAAGACCAGAACAATAACTGGATTTCTTGTCATCAGTTTGCTTCCTGCCAGGAAGAAACCCCTCCACTCTGTTGAAAACCACCCTCGATGAGAGGCAGTTCAGAAAAGACTTAGATCAGACCAAACTCCAACAGGAGCGTCGAACCTTGTCCCCCACTGACTTCTGGTCTTTCATCCAAAACTCGGCTCACGCAGACACATGTGAGAGGTCTCACAGCGGCCAGGCTGATGTGGCTCTTGAGGGCAACGGTGAGTGATGCTTATTTGGAGACGTTTAAGTACTAGTAGTGTTGCCAAAAAAGAAACGTTTGATTAGTTTGAATAATTTTATTTATTTGCTGTTGCAGCCAGGATCCTGGGAGAGATTGTTTTACAACTGGACAGGAGGATTCTGTCTCATGTCTTCCAGGGCCACAGGAGGCTTTATGGTTTCACAGTGCAGAACATACCAGACAAGATCATAGAGGTAAGAAAACCCTTCAATGTAGTTTAAGTGTTTAAATTGAGACCTCTGTCCGTTTTGACACACTAGTCTATAGGTAAGACATCAAATCTCAACAAAGTTTTAATTGTAATTTATTTCATTATCATTTAATTTAGAAAAACAATACTCACAACATTCCACTGTCGTGATGCAGAGGGAACTCAAGCCTCTCTTCCTCTCTTGTAGGTTAGCACAAATCCACTGATGGGGAAGGTGGATAAAGGCTATCAGCGTCACCTCACTCAGAGGTATGATGACCTCATGGAGCAGTTGAATCAGCTCGGTTACAAGAAGACACTTCACCCTCAATTCTCTGAATTCATCATCAACACTTACGGGATCCTGAAGGGGAGGTCTCGAGAATTCAGAACTCAGCAAGTGGGCTACAACAACCCGGAGACTCTGAAGATGCTCATAATGACCACTGCTCCGATAAAACTTCAGGAGAACCTGCAGCTGCTGCTCAAATGTCTCTGCAACATGGCCAAGAACGACAAAAAGCCTCTTCTTCTCTGGTAGACATGAGTGTAATCAGATTTACAAGCTTGCACCATCCACAAATTAGAAATAAACATTGGTAAATGGCATGAGAAGATACATTTTATAATTGTTATACTTTGCAACCTGTAATAAAACATCTAACCATGCAGTAATCAAAATTATCTTGGGCCAGTATAATTTCTTAATGTGCGAAAGAAAGAATTGCCATACTGATGTCTGGTAAGTATAAAGGATGTACTGTACACACCACGACGTGGATCATAAGATACAGCTTCATGAATGAGTTTCTTAAGGGTCTGGTTATCACATTGAACTGCCATTTTGTTTCTGATGATGCTAATCCAGAGATGTGGTGGAGAGTTCAGGAACCAAATCACAAAATACATTATCTCAAGGTATTTTACATCATAACAAGACCTTCAAAATATTGTAGAGAAACCCAACCGTTCCCACGACGAGGACCGTGAAGAGAGATAACTCCTGTTTAACAGGAAGAAACGTCCAGGAGGTGGGTGAAGGAAGAGGAGAGAGAGGAGAGAGAGAGACCAGGGACAGTTGTACAGTGTCTTATTTAAGCTCTGTCTGGTTGTTGAAAATAATGAAATGAATAATAGTGATACTGATGCTGATGATATCAGCTCCTCTTAGTAATAATAATGATAATAATAATGCTGATATAAATAATTAATGTAGAAATAGTATATAATACTAATAATAATTAGTATTATAATAATGCAGATATAAATATGGTAGAAGTAGATTATAATAATCTGATCAGTCACCTGCAAAACGGGGGGGGGGGGATAGAGAAAACACAAAGGTATTACTACAGTATTACTTTACTAACAGCAGTACTATTAGTACTGATACTATTTCTACTACACTCTGCGGGTTCAGATCTCGTATCAGGTCGCCGCAGGTGAGGTCACGTGACAGTCGGGCTCGGCTCCATGACAACTCCATTAGGGTGTGGCTTAACGTTGTGATGATCGTCTGAGCTGACAGAGGCTTCACACTCACGTTGTTTTTATCATTGTCATTGTTTACGGGCTGCATCCAAACAGATTAGCAGTTTGAACATGTGACATGTTAAATGTAACACACATGAGCTGCGTGTGCTGCACTCAGCGTCTGTCCCGGCTCTAAGGTAAGAAGACCACCACAGGTTGACGTGTTAGCTGGGTGTTTTCTAAGCTAGCTAGCGACGGGACAGGTGACAGCTTTCATTCGCGATAACGCACATGTACGCGAGACGCTTTTCCAGGACGTGTAAAGTGAGATCGTTCAGGAGCCATGTGCTGCGGCCGCTCAGCGACTTGTTGCGGCCACACACCGACGTTAACGTGGGTCTGAATGAAGTGTGTGTGGGTCGTTGTGTTAAGTGAAACTGTTAGCTTAGCATACCTGCATACAGGCGTGTCACGGCTCCTCTAAACTACCTGTGCGAGTGTGGAGTGGACACAGAGACACACACAGCTCACTTCCCCTTCATTACTAATAGATGGATCACACGGTGGTGGACTTGATAGTAGTCTGATTTGAATGGGGGGGGTTCACACTTGTTTTCACTGTATAGTCTATCGTTAGTGTCCAGACTCTCAGACTGCACAACACAGCTCCTCCTGCCTAATTCTCAAATCTATAGTTCAAGAAAGAGCTGCTGCACATTTTGGTTCACCGTATATTACAAATAATTGGACGTTGATCCCTGTCTTCATATTGCACATTTTGAAAAACACACAACTTTGTATATATATTATTACTATTTGTATTCAAATTTTTATTCGTATTAAATTTTCCCCTTGCGCTTCTACTTCCTTTTGCTGCTGTATCGATTGTGAATTTCCTCTACATCTTATTGTAGCCAGTATAACTTTGTGAACGCATTATTCAATGAATCATTATCATTACAAGTTAAGAACATATCTGCTCTAGGTTTTCCCTTTGATACACCCAATGCCTTGGTGCGGTATAATCAAGAAATGTACAAACACATAAAGGTGTGGTGTTTTGTGGCGTTTCCTCGCTGTCTTCATTTTGCCAGTGGTTAGCAGCAGCACTGTGCAGATGGTGACAGCAGGATTATACGCAGTTCACACACTGTTTTTCTCTTTGCTTCCTTTATATGTGATTATTACGTATTGCATAAGTGTGCAGTTAAGCCAGTCTTATCTTCCCTGTGCCTCTGACTATCCTGCATTCATGTTGGTGCAGTTGTCAGTCGCCTTATGTTTTCCTCAACTGCGTGTCCAGGCATGAAGTCAGTATGAGATTCTCGCTGTACTTGTGTGTATGGAAGAAAGAGCAGAGCCATGTTGTAACAATTAAAATTTCTTTTTCTTTGTTTTTAGTGTCCAGTGACGTCCACGAAGGAGAATCTTTCCACAGGAATGAAGCTTGTACGGGAAGTCCCTATGTAGTTCAACCTGATTGCAGCTTAGAGAAGGTGCAGAGGCATGGCCCTGCAGGTGTCTCCCTTTCCTAATGGCTTTGTTGCAGGCCTCCATGCCGTGGGATGGGCATTCATCCTGCCTTGTTTCTGGTTTCTTGATCGCCTCATCGCCGTGTGCAAGTCCACCACCGTGGAGCGAACACAGAGACTGGAGCAGGAATGCTACCTTCACCCACTCAAGGTCTTTTTTGGCTCCATTATCTTCTTCATTCTTTTTCTCGTAACAGCCCCCTTGGCCCTCCTGGGCTTTATGCTCTGGGCTCCTCTCCAGGCCTGCCGCAGACCCTTCTACTACCACAGAGAGACACCGTCCTCACCAGAGAGTGAGACACACAGGGGCTTCGAGCTGGTAGGAAAGGCATCATTTGGTTTCGCCACAGCCAATCTGTGTCTTTTGCCTGATAGCCTGGCTCGCTTTAACAACCTTGGACACACTCAACAAAGGGCAACCACCATTGGTCAGCGCATTGTGCACGGTGTGTGTCGACCTCACATCCGCATCTTTGTAGATTCCCCCAGCAGCTGTGGCACTCTCAGCCCCTCTGGCAGCATACTCCCCACGGGTAACTCATCTTCATATGGGGCTACAGATAGACAGGCGCAACCCTCCGTGAATCACCATCCAGACTCAAACGAAGGACATGCTTCTATCCCAATGACTGACAGCTACGTGGTTTGTGTGCCTTGTGATGATACAGAAGAGCCCTCGACTGAGTCGCCCTCCCCTCTCCTCAATTCCAACCAGAACTCCAACCAGCAGGGGCGAACTGGTCACCGGAGCGCTCCCCGAGCTTTGCTCTCTCAGGGTCTCCGTCAGCAGGACGATGTACCTTGGGAGGTCTCGTCATTGTTTCCAGCCAACGTGGACATACTTTGCCTGGAGGAAGTGTTCGATAAGAGAGCTGCAAAGAAACTCACAGAGGCACTAAGACCCATGTTTGGACACATATTGTACGACATCGGTGTGTATGCCTGCCAGCCACCATGCAGCTGTTCCTCTTTCAAGTTCTTCAACAGTGGACTGTTTCTAGCCAGCCGATTCCCAGTGCTCGAAGCCCAGTACCACTGCTTTCCCAACAGCCGTGGGGAAGACGCACTGGCTGCTAAGGGCCTCCTTTCTACTAAGGTAACTCTATCAGTTGCTGATGTTGTCATTTTTGTTCATTCATATTAGTCAGTCAGGATTTTGCAATACTCTTAAAATGGTGAAAATATGATGCAGTGATGGTTTTTGACATTTGCAGGTGCTAATTGGTCAGAATAAGAATCAGAAGAAAGTGGTCGGCTATTTTAACTGCACACACCTTCATGCACCAGAGGGCAAGTCACATTTTTTTCTGATTTGGTCTGTTCATGTTGATAGAATATTTGGCAGCTTCTCATTAGGAAACACACTTATGAAAGCTTTTGTGTGATCTCTTATCAGGTGAAGGGGAAATTCGCTGCGAGCAGTTGAACATGGTGACCAAGTGGATCGGTGACTTTCAAGCTGCCAACAGAGACCCTGATGAGGAGGTTGTTTTTGATGTGCTCTGTGGTGATTTCAACTTTGACAACTGCTCACCTGGTGTGTCTGTGTCTCTGACCATTTTCTATGTTTTGTTGATAATATTTCTTGAAAGCATCTTCACTACATTTCTTTAGTATTTATGTATTTAAATGTTTTATTGTTTTTGTAGATGACACTCTGGAACAGAATCATTGTCTGTTTGAGGAATACAGAGATCCTTGCAGGGCAGGGCCGGGAAAAGAGAAGCCCTGGGTCATTGGTTTGTAGCATTTCAATCAATTAAACTACAGTATATGCTCCAAATCTATACTTTATGTTGACATTTGTAGGGTAATGTGATGATTTTCCTCCAAAGGTACTTTACTGGAGCAGCCCACGCTGTATGAGGACGAAATAAATACCCCAGAGAATCTACAGAGGTTAACTCACTTTCTGTAGCTTGTCACCAATACTGTAATGTGACCAGGACTCCTCATTTACTTTATTAACATGAAGCTCTGCTCTGTCTTCTCTCTGTTTCTGTGCAGAACTTTGGAAAGTGAAGAGGTGAGAAAGCAGTTCATCTCCCCACCTGTCCCGGGAGAGGGCTGTCCACTGGTTTACCCTGAAAGTGGCCAGCCGTGGATCGGACGTCGAATCGACTACATCCTGTTCCGTGAAAGCTCCATTTCAAGACAATGCCGAACAGTACGTGTCCCTGTGTGTTTCTACTCTTATTTTACTCAGTCCTCTTTTTCTTCCCCATTGTTTGTCTCCTGGAAATTACAATTCGGTCAGCTCTTAAAACATCAGTTATCTCCAAACATCATTGAAACCTTTAACTCTTTTTGTCTCGTAGGAAATTGAAGAGGTGACCTTTATAACGCAGCTGGCTGGCCTTACAGACCATATTCCTGTGGGCTTGAGACTGAACGTAATGATGGACTATGACTGTGTGGATGAATCAGGGCTAACATGAGCACAGCTTCACATTCACACAAAAGGGAACAAAATGTGCTAACATGTACATTATGTTTTGTTTACATACTTGAATTTGAGATTTCACTGACGATATACTGACCAATGATATTATACCTCAGGTGAAATTGATATGGGTTTATTAAAATTTTATAATGTAGATAATTTTATGCATTAAGGCTCTTTCAGGCCAGAGGTATTGTTTTTTTAAAACAATATT